GACGGAGTTTAGGGTCTAGGCATTGTCGTGCTCTGGGAACACTGCAACCTCAGAGCAGAGAATCTCAGGATGAGACGGTGGCCACTGCTGAGTGGCAGCCGCAGGGCGCAAGCAGCCATGGCCGACGAGTACTGTGGAGCGACGAACTCATTTTCAGTCTCAATCGGCTTCACCCGTTTTGGGCAATCTCGCTGGTTCACACGCGACAGCACAAACACCAGCAGACATGTGTGACTCAATGAATGACCCTCTGACCAGGGAGCCGGTCTTCATTTTCTGGCAGCCGCACGCCGGTTGCCGCTTTGTGGTTTGAGCTCTGGTTTCGAGCTCTGCCGTTCAGAGACGATGGCTGCGAAGGACGTGGCGCTCGCGAAATATGTATATGCATATATGCATATATGCATCTGCAAGAATCGTGTGTGTGTGTGTGGCTTGGGTCTAGATTTTTTGGCGCAGTGTTTCGACTGATCACCCATGTGGCCACGTCTGGCACAGCGCAGTATCATGCAGCATGAGTGAGGGTCTGCTTCTAGCCGTTTTAAGCGTTCTGTGGTATTCTGTGGTCGAGGAGCATTGCCTCAACCTTCCGCAGCACAGTTGCACTCCAGACGCCACAATCGCCTGGGCAAGGGTCCCGTGGCTGTGTTTACACGGAGTTTTGGGCCAGAACGCTGGTTCTTCTGCACGCATATGCGCGCAAGCCCAACAACAGCGAAGCCACAAACCCTAGACCTCAGGGACCTTCGCAACGTTTACAGTAGGGACCTAGGACTGCAGGACGCTTGGGTGAGGAACGGTGGGGTGTCATGCCACTTCCGCTTCATTTGGAACCGTGCCCTGAGGACACCCAAGACGGATCCCTCGTTTTCCGTCAGACCCCATGGAAGAGCTGGGCCATGCACTCGCGTGGCTTCAAGCCTGGTGGTCCTGCAAACATCGCACAGGCGCTGCATCTGGGGTGTGAGAAGTGGGGCTTCAAACTCTTTAGGGTTCCGGGTGTGTGGGGTGCAAACCAGTATGCGAGGTTGAGGAGGCTTAAGCCCACATTACACTGAAAGGGCTGCATCAAATGCGGAATCTGGACCTCAGAGGTACAACGACCCTAGCGCCCTCTACAGAGCGGAAGAAAAGCGGTCCGAAGAAGAATCCAAATTTGATGCCACGCAGTCAAAAAACAACTACATACGAGTACAGATGTGGTACAGTGGAGTGGAGAGGTCTGGGTTGAGTGGATTCCAAATGCGTGGAGTGCGGAGCGGAGTGTAGTGAACGAGTACGTCGGCTGCGGAGTGAGGAATTGACGGAAGTGTCTCATGATGAGTGAAGGGATGTGGCAACCTGGTGTTGCGCGGCGCTCCCCCAAGCGATGTGGAGCGTGGAGTGAAGAACGGCGTGTGGAACATGGAGCGCGGGGTGGAGCATGGGGTGTGGAGCGTGCACTTCACATTTGCGGGGTATCTCAACCCCCCCCAAACGGAGAGAATCATCACTGTGAGGAAAAGTCCCGAGGAAATGGGGATGTGCGGGGAGGTCCATCATGTCTCGCAGCAAGTGCGCACTGTCATCCTCAACCCCCCATCCCCTGAACTCTGCAACACAAAGTTCGGCGCCTTTGCCACCTCCGCAATGTCTTTCTCGCATGTCCTGGTTGCTCAGTCAAGGGACAAGAGTTGATCTCAGTTCCGGGGCGAAGATGGGTAGTACCTGGGTTGGAGACTAGGTGTCATCCAGATCCAATGAGTTCTATCTGCGGGACAGCTTCCACAGCACCTAGAGCCACTCGAGTGCGTAGCCCAATTCCACTGCTAAACGACTGCGATGATTGTTTCCGTGCGTCAGGTCAAGCGCAGGACTCAGCGTCTAAGTCTTGGGGCCTGGGATCTACACACCCTCAGCCTCGGCCCCCACACTGAAAGCCCTTGCGACGCATTTTACGACATCGGCACACTGCGTGCGCAACTCTAAACCGTGCGCGGAAACACCTCGCCTAGTGGGTCAAACAATATCTGACATCGTCCATGGGTCCTATCACTGCGGGACAATAAACATCCGAAGTTCCAAAGGCACAAGGCAACGTCGAACCCAAACACCATGAGCACGCAGAGCAAGCGGCCACGTAGAGACGATGCTGTCGTAGGCATCCTGCACCAAAGTTAGCATTTTGGAGCTTGGCAGCTTCAGGGCTATGAATTATGAGTTGAGGGGATTAGCACGCGGGCGTCACCCTTCGGACCAATTTTGTTGCTTTAAGAAAAAATGGCGCCCTCTGCAACCCATCAGGAGGACTCATCTGACACTCACCGCGCTGGCACGTTTTTTGGAGATATCAGCTAGATGACAGCACAACGTGCTCGGACCCGGACTGACCAACCCTTAAATCCTGCAACGGGTTCTCCAGATTTTCGGGCCGGGCCAAGGCTCTCGACGCACATCTTCGCGCATCGCTTACAACTCTGGGAAAACATCAGAGGGGTTGCACGGGAAGCCACAGAACCGACATGGGAACCGGGGACATCGGAGTTGCGGGAAGCGAACCCTTGAGGATCCAAACCCAAAGCTCAGACCCGGAGGGGCTCCTTTCGTTGGGAACCCTTTCAGACATTTCAAGCCCTCATCCGGAGCCTCTGGGCACTCCAGGCCCAAAGCCCAACCCTGACCCTTAAGCTGCTTTGGTCCTGCCAAAGGTCGGTGAGGCCACGGCCGACCTAAGACGAACACACTTTCATGGGAGGGAACTCTCACACGATCTAAACCTACACCCTGACCCCTACAAGCCCAAGTAGAAACCAAAACCAGACACCTCCGACAGTGAGGATGAGGATTCAGGATGGTTCAAGGGGTCACGGACTGATGTTGTTCACTGGTTGATGACCACCGTTTTCCATTCAGATCCGAGAGGCTGCCCACCCGCAGCCCACCACGAAATGGCCTCACGAAGGTGGCTACCCCCAGGTTTTCGGCTCGCGGGGGGAGGGGGGCTTGAATCAAAAGAGGTTGAACTTAGCTTCACCTGGCCCTACCCCGTGTTCGGCTCGAGAAGAACGTCTGGGCCCGAAAAGGTTGAATGTAGCTTCTTCTAGGTTGTTGTTGGCTTGGGCCAGCAGAGGTTTTGCAGGGTTTCCAGAAGGGGTTGCTTTGTAGCTTCACCCAGCCAACTAGCTAACGCCCAGTTTTTCGGCTCGGGAAATGGACTGAAGAGGTTGCGTGCAACTTTATCTGGCCCAAACCCAGAGTCGGCTCAGATCGGGGTCTTGCGCCAGGAGAGGTTGCTTTCAAAAAAATTCCGAACCTTAGGGACAAGGGGACCGGGAGACCAGGGCACCCAGGGGTCCGCCACACCTATACAAAAAGGTATGGCGACACACCTAAAAATCAAACTCGGGACTCATGAGAAACACGTGCCCCTATCCCTTTACCTCAGACACTCCACTGAGGATGGGGCGAACGAAACCAACGGCCTCACTGGCGCTGTGGATGTCGCTCAGGCGCGGGGACGTCGGCTCGTCTGCCTCACCGTGCGAACCCCAAAGCTTTGTAGATTTTGCAGGGGCGAATGGTTTCGGGGGGAAGAGCTTAAAGTAAGCTGCGTTGGAGGCTGTGGGTTGAATAGGATGGTGTGAGGGATCCGCGAGCCACGAACGAGCACCGGAAACCCAGGCGACAACATGCAACCCGACAGAGTTTAGAGTTTAGGAGTTGACGTCTTATGGTGTTCAGGGCCCCTGCAACTGCAACAGCCCCATCTAAGGATGGGACAGCGGCAGTGCCAAGTGCCATGCCAGCAGCCGGCAGGCGCAGGGCCATGGTCATGTGGTGTGCCTAGAATCACACGGACCCATATCAGGGTATCCTGGTTGGTTCGGTTGTACCACTTGCGATCGTAGGGCGTAGGGCGCACAGGAGAGGATGGCAACCTCCCCGTCTCAGCGGTGCTTTGAGGTCTACTCGAAAGGCGGAGCCGAATAACAACGGACGGCAGAAAGTGGAGGAAGAGAAACAAAACCTCCCGAACCCCTTGTAGCATCCCTTGCAGCATCCTTTGCCGAACCTCACATACACGATCATGCACTCATCCCGGACTCCCCGCACAAGGAAATTTGGGAATTGGGAGTTGGGCCCTTTCAAGGGTTTTGGGGATTAACAAACGACGCCTAAACCCTAAACCCTACCCCTTCATATTCAAGTGCTTACAGCGGCTGAGGGCTTGGAGGCTTGGAGGCCTCTCTGGCTCTGGACCCTCAGCGTTCCACAAAAGCAGGATTTTGGGCACAGATGCGCACCGTGGCCGAGTCGGTTTCAAAGACTTCAATGCCAAGCCGCTGCCGCTTGGACCGCAGCTTTTGGGCAGCTCCCATGGCCATGACACACTGGGCCAGTCTGGAGGCCCCGAATGCTTCCATGGCTTTGCATGGCTTTGAGAAATGTGTTCAGGTTGCAGGCTGCCACAAGTCAAGTCGGGGTTTAGCGCGTAAGCAGTATGTACTTATACCGGTGTAGGGTGTTGGGTAGTTTCCATAAACTTTAAGGTTGAGCGCCCAGCTTTCGGGGGTGGGGCTCTTGGCTGTACGGCTTGTGACCCCCCCCCGCTCCCTTGCAGGGTGGACTGTGCGAGGGCTTTTTACGGGGGTACGGTAGATCTGGGACAGTAGATCTTTACATTCTTTACTTGCAGTGACCGGAATGCTCTATGGAGGTTGAGCCCAATACGCTTTCGAGGCTTCAAGGTGCCGTCTTCCTGATCGCAATAGGCAGCGTCACGACACGAATGGGAGCAACCCTTGCGGCCAGTATCCTGAGGCTTGAAGTCGAACTCGGCAAAGACTGCTGATAGCGCTGCACCCTCTCGGTGAAATGTCCGGGGCGCGGCCAAGGCTACTGTTCAGCTGCAGCCTCTTCTAGGTGGTTCATCTTTAACTACATGTAGTTGCCTCGCTTGTTCCTTTCTGCATTGCATACAGGGCGTCTGCTGACAAACCTCCATCCCAAGACAACGCAGTGACTTACGCAGCAAGGGCTTGTACGTATGTTATATGTACACACTGCATGGCTAAGTAGATCGGCTGGCTGGTCTGAGGCGCCTTCCGCGGATGCAGCTCACCCAGAAGTGGCTCGGGAAGCTGGAGGGCGGCTCGTCCTTCTCCGACTCTCACAAGACCAGACTGCCACCATCCCACATTTTTCCATTGCCCGACCAGACTGCCATCCATCACCCTGGCTTCCTTGACGAGCCCGTCTGTGCGCACGCCGCTTACCGCGCGCCTACCTCAGGGGATGATGGCTTGGTGTGGCTTGGTGTGGCTTGGTGTGGCTTGGTGTGGCGTGGTGCGGCTTGATGAAGATGCCAGCTGCACTGAGCAAGCCCGTTCGACAAAACTGGCTCCCTTCAGCCCAAACAGCCTTGAACGTCGGACACAAAGTAAGCCTCGGCACTGAAGAGGGATACGCACAGGAGTTCAAACTGGACAGGCAAGGCACGTCGCGGCACGCATCGCGCAGCCAAAGGCCATGCACCAGGAACTCGGAGCCATGTGACGTTGACCTGGCGAACAGTGCGGGAGGCGGCACCTCGCTGGGCCATGACCCTGCGCCCTCAAGTTGAAGCCGACAGCCGTCTCATTGTGCATCAAGCCAGATCATAAAGGCGTGACAGCATGGGTGAATGCACGGTATCGGGATGGTTTGGACAGCTGCTTCACTGCAGCTGGCTAAGGAGGCTCACTTTGTGGCGTTGTGCTTGCTGCGGTCTCAGCGGCTCAGTGCCACTTCAGCGCCCTCCATGTTGGAAGCAGCAGCGCATCAGCAGCACAGCACCAGCGGCGGGGGCCCCCGGCGACGCATGGCAGCAAAAAGCAATGCTAACGCCCTGCCGCGCTAAGAATCCCACAAGAAAATCGTCTATCAACCTAGAGTCACTGACTGCATGACCGAAGTACTGAAAGGCTGGATGACCGAAGTACTGAATTGCACTTCTGCACCTTGTGCCACAATGCCCTGGAGCTGCGAGTCGAGTCGAGCCGACTGGAGCTTCGAGGCTGATGGAAGGCTCACTGGATCACTGTACCATGATGCTTGCACCCTGAGGCAGACACGCACCACCCGCCGGACCAAGAGGGTCGGGCTTGTTTTTAATTGCATCACGGAGCTCTGTCTTGACACGGCACAGTTGACCGCGGATGATTGGCTCAGCTCTGATCATAGCAGAGATCCAGTCACAGGTGACACCTATACTTGAAACAGATGCCCCAGGTTCGAGGCATCATTCTTCTGACTCTGGTTCATCAGGCCTGCCTGAGGTAAGTCGCCATATTAGCCATACAGACAAATTTCAAAGCAGATTCATTGCATGCTGTGCTGCAAAGTTGACACACCCCGACAGGGCCCTTACCAGCGGCCAAGAGCTATGATTGGCCAGGATGATGCGCCGCACAAAGTCTTTCGTAGCTCAAACAGAGCCACTCGCGAGTTCCTTCCCAGGAGCTTTGCCCAGGTTCAGAACTCGCCGGTCTGATCCTTGTCCCATCTTGGGACGAACCAGAACAGAAAGCAGTTCCTTAGCTTGACACTTGAGACGCCCATTCCTGTGACTGTGGTCCTGTCCGAAACTGCGAGAGCAGCTGCAGCTACAGCTCTCAACAGCTACCGGTTGCCTTGGCAGCTACAAGTAGCTGTGCTGCGAATCCGCTCTCTGTTGTGCCGACCAGCGTCGTGGGGCAGCCTTTGTCCCAGCGGTTCCGTGTGGGATCCTCGGCAGCTCCATGCCGATGTTTCGACCCCGATGACCCAACATGACCCAACATGACACAACGAATCCCTGACTTGCGAGCTGGCCCTCTCAGCCCAAGCAAGCCGCCAAGCGCTCGTCGCCGAGGGGCGTAACGGAAGGAATCGAACTTCTCGTTGAACTCGTCTGTGTCCAGGTCTCCCACCCACACGGATGTGCCCGTCCTCAGCGTGTCGTGGTGCGCGATGTGCACAGCGTGCTGACCTGACTGGGTGCTCCACTCCAGATCATCCACCACGTAATTTTCGTCTTCCTTCCACTCATTCGCGAGCTCGTTCCTGCCGTTGAGCAGGCATCAGGTACAACGACTTGACATGTGAAAGTATCGTGGGTCTAGTCAATCTAGTCAACGGCAGTGGTGTGCCAGAGAAACAAGAATGCTGTGAGCAGTGTGTTCACCGCGTGTCCTGGACACGAAGGTCACATGCAGGCGGACGATGGGAATCAGGTTGTAGCCGAAGATGGCCAAATACACCAGGTGCGCCGCCTACAATCCATCGGAGGTGGGGGGCGAGGCGTTATGCTTGCGCACTCGACCCCGTGCGAACTCCCCATCAGCTCGGCCCAGCGGCCAGCAGGCTCTCTGTGGCCTCGGCTCGAGAGGCATCGAGAGAAAGTCTGCGCAGAATCTCAGCATATCCAAGCTCCAGAATGACCTGGGGTCTCGGCCGAGTGCTCCAGGCTCCAGAACGCGGCGAGGAGCCAAGCATCCACGATGGAGCCTCAAATGCAAACCAACCAAGCACTGGAAGCATCATAGAGCTAGAACCAAGAGCACCCGGAGCTGCGCCTTAGAACACCGGCCGAATGAGCAGCCAAAACAGCCAAGCAACCGCCCGCCACCATCACAGTGAAGATCATGAGTAGCATGAAGAACTCCTCAGCCCAGCGCCCCTTCCTCCCAACAGCATCCGCAGGTCAGCTAGGCCTGTCAAGGCCTAACGCGGACGCCCGAGTCAGCCAAGGCTCCCGATGGTTGTGGAGACCGATGCCGTTCAGGAGCCAGCGGCAGTAGTGGTCGTAGCCTCGGGCATTGCAGCACTCAGGTAGACGTGTGCAACTGCAAGGAGCAAGCATGCTGCATCATGCTGCCGATGCAAGGCGAGGGCGCCGGATGCGGCGTGGGAACCTCACGGAAGCATGACGAAGCGACACGGACTCGTCGCACTGATGAAGGCGGGCGCAGGCCCCATGGGCCACGCACGCCACAGCCAAGGGGCTGCGAGGACTTGTAGGACCGCTCCATGGGACGGTCCGGAAGCTCCTCCGGCACCATCCCCGGGTCCACTGCACCGGTGAAGGCCATGAGGCCTGCAAGCCAGAGGACACTTCGAGCTGCGAGGGTTTTTTGCGCCGAGATGCACCGAAGACAACAAGGCAGACATCCAGCTCCCGGCCAAAAGCCAGCAAGAAGAGCGCGACCACCCCGCAGCGCAACAGATAGACCGGGCCCATACCCTGTGCACCTCGGCCAATATCATCGCACATCATCACAGTCACAGCAATGTCCAGTCCTGACACTCTGCCACACGTACTTGCCGCATCTCGCCGCTATATGCCATGGCAGACTTGCTTGCACGCACTGTGTCACGCAGGCATGGATGTCAGATAATGCAAGGGCCAAGGGGCTCATGAGCGGGCACTGAATGCAAAGCCAGCATGTCGCGCTAAGAATCAGCGACGCGACGAGGCCCACCGGCAGCAACCGAGGGTCCACATCGGTTCTCGGGGCGATGCTTGGTGCCTCATTCGCGGCACTTCGCTGCGCAGGTCCAGAATGATCCATCGTGCCACGTCATGCCCTCGCCTCGCTGGGAGATGTGGGCGACGCCGCCTCATCCTCCTCCTCCTCCTGGACCTCGGCGCCCTCCATGAAACGCAGGACCTGCACAGCCACTGAGGTTGCGTCGAGCTCCGCGTGTCCTGGTTCGCAAAGGCGTGGCGCTGCCGGCGCTCCCGACGCCTCGCGCACGTCACTGCGCGTGCGGCAGCGGCCGCGGTGGCCCTGCCCCCCTGCCAAGGCGAGGGGGAGAGCAAGGGTCATTACAATGAGTCCCCCTACAGAACCCTGGATGAAGGTTGCCTCACGAAAGGGTTGGAAGGACGCGCCTCGGTGCGTGCGGGAGCTGGGCGAGTCAGGTTTCATAGCGCTCTCCACGTCCTGCAGAGGCTGCATCAAGTGGCGCAGGGAACCCCTTTATGAGGCCTATATAGGGACCTCCTGTACTGGTAGGTCCCAAGCACTCATCGCACAAGGTCAAGGCCTGGGTGTACTCCCCGGCGTGTGTGGACTCGTCTGAGTCCTCATGTCACGCTTTCAGGCACCAGGCGCAGGGCTCGTTTTCTTGTTTAGGGTTTTAGGTAGGGGGGAGGGGGGGCGGTTGTTCTGCTCTGCTTCTGTCCGAGGTGCGCTGTGCGCCTCCCGCAAGGCATGCAAGCAGCTGGGATCCATGATGCACACAAAATCAACTATCTCCAATCAACTATCTCCAATCAACTAGAAGCTCTGCCTTGGACCGCACACAAAGGCACAGGCGCTGAGCACAACAGTCGCAAGTACTGGCACGGCGCAGCGCTTCACTGCAGCATACTGCGGCGAGCAAAGTAGCCCACTCCAGAGTGTTCTACCCCTTTTTGCTGCACCATGTCCAGGTCGTGCCAAGTCATGCCGCCGGCACGTGGCCATGTGCCGTCCGAACGGCGGCTAAAAACGTTCCATTTCAATTTCCAGCTCAACAGACCGACCCAGACCGACCTCTATACGCACGCTTTAGGATGGTTGAGGTCCGCTGGCAAACCAAACTTGCCTCGACGTGCACGCTTGGCTTGAGGTCTGCTGTCACACGATCCTCGCGGGATGTAGGACCCAGGTTCCAGGTTCCCGCCGCAGTGCAAGCACCTCCATACAGTCCGCCAACACCGGTGGCCCGCTATGCTCGAAAGGCCCCCTTGCCCCCTTGCGCCCTGCTCCGCTCTCTTTGCAGCACCAAAGGTCTCTTCGACGTCTTCGCATCAAGTGCCATCATAGTCGAACCTGCATCCGGAGCTCTGAACAGAAACTCCCTAAACCCTGAACATTCCTAAGCACCCAAACCCTATAAACCCCGCACTCCAAGAATCTTTGCTGGGAGCCGCAGTGCCTGGTCGACACGAGCCCGTGCGGGCGCAAGTCCAAAGCGCCGCCGCTCTCTGCGAGCAGCCCATCCCTGCAGACCGGCATATCGACTCTTTGAGGAACCCAAGAACATCGTAGATAGTATGGGCTACGGCCTGCGGGTTTCAGGGTTTCAGGGCTTTTCAGGGCTCAAGATTGGGGTGGGAGGGGGGTTCGAGTCGAGGTTTGCCGGTTTGGGGAGTCTGCTCTAGGCGCAAGTGGGAAGCTGAGTTATCTGGGTACTGACAGTGCCGGATTTCTGCGTGCAGATTCTGTGGAAATTGCTCTGAATCACGGCACTTTCTTGAAAAAAAAACTCTTTGGGGGAGGCGGGGGAAGCAGCGGACGTAGAGGCTGGGCGCCCGGCCGTGCACTCGCCAGGGCATCCAGCGCCTTTTGCTGCACTTCGGGGTCGGAGGCTGTTGCCTGAGGAAGGCTGGGAGCTTGCATGGGTGCCTCGGACCCCTTTGTGATGATAATTTTCGAGGGGGCGCGTGATGGCCCCCAAGGTTTGGGGGGGGTCTGTTTCAGCAATTTCTACAGTCTTAAACAGGGACTTGAGGTTTGAAAATATCCCTCAGCTGGGGCGCCGGGCCAAGGCTGCCTCAACAGCCCGGAGAGAGCCGCCGAGCAGGCAGCGGTTCTGCGGCGACTGCTGCGCGGGCACGAAGGCGATCTCCGTGGCTGCAGGGAAGAGGCTCCGAAGCAGGTTCAGTCCTGGGGGCAGGGATTTTTTAGGGTTTAGGGATGTTTAGGGTTTAGGGGTTAGGGCTTAGGGATTAGGGTTTAGCAGGATCGGGGTTCTGTGCTGGTTTGTTGTTGGTGGCCCCTGCTCTGCTCTTGAAGCTCTTGATCTTCTCTTGATGCTCCTGGTGATGATTTAGGGTGCTTTGCGGCCTCGGGTCCCTCTGCCTCTCTGACAGCACACCTTCCTGTGCAGCTGAGTTTCGTGGCTCCTGCAGGGCATCCTCGAAGAGCTCAGCGGCTCGCACCTGCCGATCTGTGATGCGATTCGCCGCAGCCCCGGCCGTGGTGCGCCAGGCCACGCAGCGCGTGCAGATCCCGAGGAAGGCCTCCAGCCTCGAGGCCTTCTCCTCGCTGGCGCCCTCGCTGGCGCCCTGCGCGTCAGTGATTCGGCTCAGGTAGGGATCCTCCTCATGGATTTCGCGGTACACCCGTGCGTCCTCGGCGCCAATCTTGTGGCCACAGCACGTTGCAATCACGGCACCGAGGACCTCTGCGTGGTGTGTGTCTGTCGTTAGACCATCACGGCGCCATCGCCGAAGTAGCTTCAGGGCCAGATCCGTGCCTACTCCACAAAGATGCTTGGCAATCACCACAACTCTGCCAAGCCCATGCTTTGCCAACAATGGCTCCAGCGCCTCCTGCGCGTCGAGGTCCCCCACATCCCCCGTCACGCGAAGGACGCGATGCTGAAAAGCTGCCGGGAGCCGGCCCTCAACACGCAGGGGCTCTGGCGGCAGCGTGTGATCCACGAGCACGGCATGCCCGCCCAGCAGAAGCGCTGCCAACAAAGCCAGGCTTCCGTTGCCAGCTCCGATGTCTACCACGGCTAGATCCTTGCCTTCTGTCTGACTGGGAGATCCCGCCAGTGCCCAGACCTTCGTCAAGATGGACCACTCTTGGCCCAGGTACTTCTCCTGGTACTTCGGCGGCCGGTCGATCATCTCGGAGAGGATGCGGAGGCCCTCCGAAGGCGCAAAGGCTTCGGGCAGTGCCTTGTACGGGCAGCTGGTGCACAGGAGCGCCGCAGCTTCTGCCTTAAGGGGAGGACATGAACCTACATGAGCCCAAGGCGAGAGGTGTCATGAGTGATATGGTGTCATCGTCTCTTGTGCCTGATAATTGGGGCCTAGGAGGGGTACACGACCCTTTCTGGTGTAGGGTTCAACTAACGTTTCCAAGGTGCCAGCATGGCGTCCACCTCCACCGCATCAGGGGTGTGCTTGCTGCCCATCGGCTTCTGGGATGCTGGCAGCCGCCCCGGCGCTTCACCATCTGCATCCAGCTGAGGTGTGGGGCCGCCTACGCCGTAGCCTCCTCCTCGTTCTCCTCTTTCAGAAATTTGCCTCTCATGGATGACAGCCCCCCAAATAAGGTTTGTAACCACTGACAGCTTCCCTACTGATACCCACAATTATTGCTCCCCATGAACCTGAAACCCTTAACCCTTAACCCTAAAACCCTAGATCCGCCTTAAACCCTGAACCCGGGCCTAGCTGGGTAGGCCAAGTGTGGGAGAGCTGCCGGCAGGGCCTGCGAGACACTTCAGCTTTACGGCTCTTTAAAGGGTCGGAGCTGACCTGAACAGAATGGGACCTTACATTTACAGCTGCTGCGGTATGTGCCTTGTAGCGCGGGGGATGCCAAAAAAGTCGACCATGTAGATTAACCCCCATACTAGTTTAGGGCTTCGGGAATCCTGGCCCCTGACCCCGATGCGGGCTTGGATCAGAGGCAGGTCATGTTCCGAGGTGCTAGACCCCATTGTGGATGCTGACCGACCGTAGCTCCACCCTGCTGGTTGCGCCTGCAGCACTTGGTAGACTGCTCGCAGCTCCCTGGTACCAGCACGGTCGTGAGCAGAGCCTGCCATAAAGCAAGCAAGTCTAGGGGGGCGTTGCCAGGTCCCTCCCATACAACTAAGGGTTCCAACCCTACTAAAGCCTCCCCAAGTCCCTGACTGTGACCCCGGGGGAGCCTACAATCCTCAGACCCCTAAACCTAAAGCCCATATAAGCAATGAGCCCCTACGAAAGCTAAAGCCCGACATCAGAGACCTCCAACCCCAAAGCTCAAAGGCCCTTAAGCACGATGAATCCAAAACCCTAAGCCCCGAATCCCAACAAAACACCACCGGCAGCCGGGTGGCGGATGTTCGCACGCTCCTTCCGCCGCTCCTTCCGCCGCGAGGACACCGAAGGTTTTGCCTTGCCGCCCTCCCCCCCCGCTCCCCTCCACCGTGGTCGACCCGAAACCCTCAACCCTAAACCCTCCGTCGTTTCGTTTGCTAGTGTGAGACCAGGGTCCAGCCTCGCTGTCTCCTATGCCGTCGGCAAAGGCTTCATCGAAGGAGAGAACTGGCAGGAAGTCCTGCATCCGATCCTAAAAAATGTGCGTTCACGCACATGGTGGAAGCAAAGCAGGCACACACAACGGGCAGGTCTCCGAGACCTCTGCTTCCGGGACATCTGGAGAAGCGTCGGCGGACATCTATGTCTGAAGTCTGAAGCCAAGCACTCAAAGGGCGGCGACAGCTGCCTCGACGACGATCATAAGTGGCCCTCGCAATCTTTGGGGGTTTACAGGCCCTAAACCCTAAACCCTAAACCCTAAACCCTAAAACCAGCCCTAAGCAGCCCAGGGCCTAACAGCCAAGATCTGTGTCTCCATGACTGGTGCTCATCACATGTGGGGGTTTCCGAAATTAGGGGTACCTTATTGGGGTCCTTTCTATACCGGAATCCTACTATTTGGGGGTCTACATTAGGGGTCCCTCATTTCGTAAACACCCATGTATGTGTTCTCAACAATCGCGTGCCTTTCCATGGCCGGGGTGTAAGGAGGGAGCTCCTCTTCATCTCCTACTATTCCATTACTTGTATGTTCAGCTCTCGAAATTGTAGTGCTTTTCTGGTGCCCATGTGATATGGCCAGCCCCTTACTGCAAATCTGGTGTACCCAAACATGGCGCATAATTCGCCAGAATTGATGCGGCTGTAGTTCAGCCACCCACACTAGGGTACACCGAAACCCTAAAACCTAAAACCCTAGTTATGCCCTGACACCCTAGAACCCTAAACCCTCTGACCCAACACCCCAAGACCCGAAACCCTAGAACCCTACCCCCAAAAATTATATGCCCTGACGCCCCTAGAACCCTAGAAATCCTACAAGCCCTAAGTTGAGCCCTCCCCGCACGCACGCTTCTCGAAGCATTTTGACGCAAGCGCAGCAGCCCCGAGTCGCAACCCAGCCCACCCCCCACCCTCAAGAAAAAAACACATTATTGTGCCGTTATTCTCATGAGTAGTAGTATTATAAAACAATATTAACAATAAACTAACAATAATCACAACAAGAATGGTAACAATAACCACACAACCATAACCATAACCATAGCCATAACAATAACCATAACAATAGCAATAGCAATAACAATAGCAATAACAATAGCAATAGCAGTAGCAGTTGCAATAGCAATAGCAATAGCAATAGCAGTAGCAATAATAACAATAATGAAATAAGAAGACAACATAACAACACTAATGCCCCTGGAAACTCAAAAGCCCGATTCAAAGCGTTCAGGCTTAGGGCTGGGAAGCCCTGGGCTTGAAGCTGCATCAAGGGCTCTGAATCCTAAAAGTTCCTTCAGGCCCCCTAAACCCTAAACCCTAAACCCTAAACCCTAACCCTAAACCCTAAACCCTAAACCCCAAACACTAAACCCTAAACCCGACACCCGAAACCTCTAACCTTTCAGGCTTCTTCCAACGGCGCCAGCTGCTCTGGGGGCCTGGACACGGGACTGCGGCGGGGCTGTTGGGAGAGTGGGGCGGGTTTAGGGTTTAGGGTTTGGGGTCTAGGGTTTAGGGTCTAGGGTTTTGGGTTTGGGGTTTAGGGTTTAGGGTTTGGGGTTTGGGGTTTGGGGTTTGGGGTTTGGGGTTTGGGGTTTGGGGTTTGGGGTTTGGGATTTGGGGTTTGGGGTTTGGGGTTTGGGGTTTGGGGTTTGGGGTTTGGGGTTTGGGGTTTGGGGTTTGGGGTCTTCATGGGGGCGTTTATTCCCTGTTCGGACTTTCAGGCCCCGACGGAGGCGAAGCGGCAAGCAAGCGCCCGAGGCCCTTCTCGTGGCCATTAATCAGCACCTCGGCACAGGAGCCCGTTTGCAGGGTTTAGGGTTTAGGGTTTAGGGTTGAGGGTTTAGGGTTTCGGGTTTAGGGTTTAGGGTTCGGGGGCTGGGGGCTTGGGGCTTGGGGCTTGGGGCTTGGGGTTAGGGTTTGGGGGGGAGGGGGGGGGGCATGAAGGGCAAGAACGTTCTTGGAGCCAGGCCCACGCCCCGCAGTCCTCCGACACGTCCAGTCTCCTTCGGTCCGCCTCCGAGAGCCTCTTTTTGGGTTTAGGGTTTAGGGTTTAGGGTTTAGGGTTTGGGGTTTGGGGTTTAGGGTTTAGGGTTTAGGGTTTAGGGTTTAGGGTTTAGGGTTTGGGGTGGGGGTTCGGGGGCCGTTCAAAACAGAACCTCTTGTGGGGTCTAGGGTTTTTAGGATTTAGGGCTTGGGGTTCTAGAGTGAGACCTCCTTTTGGGGGGGACTCCTTCGGCTTGGTTTCTTTATTGAGGCTTTCCGGGATACAGGCTGGGATGTTCCCCCTTGTACGAAAACAGCCCTTGAAAAGGGATGATAATAAAATAGTGCGGTACTATAATCACTATTAAGGACTGTTCGTATAAGGGGGAACATCCCGAGTTGCAGGGGGCTTCAGGAGGCTTTAGGATGGGGAGGCCAGGGGATTGAGGGCTAAGCATCGATCAGCAAAAAAGAAGAACGTTAGCAAGGTGGTGGTGATGAGAGCCAATGCACAAGCAGATATCTTGAGAAAGCACACAGACAGACAGACACACACACACACACACACACACACACACACCAGCCAAGTTGAATCCTTAAGCCCTGAACTCCTAAAAAGCTCCAAACCCTGAGACCCTAAGTTCTCTGGATGCTTGCTACAGCGCCTCTACATCTAGAAAACAATTGAACGGACCGAAGCGAACAGGGCCCCAAACCCTTGTACAAGAAGCCCTTGTACAAAAGGAACCCGAAGGGGACCCTATATTCAAACAACCCCCTAAACCCTAAACCCTAAACCCTAAACCCTAAACCCTAAACCACCCTAAACCCGCCTAAACCCCCCGAAAACCAACAGAGAGCTCGGCCTGACCCAGCCCTGGGAGACTTCGGCAGCCTTCCGGGGGCTCGAAACCCTTCCCAAGCTTTGCAAAAGCCTGCAAGCCCTGTTAGCGCCTAAACCCTAAACCCTAAACCCTAAACCCTAAACCCTAAACCCTAAACTTTTCAACCCTATATAAACCTACAAGCCCCAAAAGCCCTGTAATCCACACAAGTCTGAGGGGGCTTTCCGAGTTTTGGTTCAGCTCACAGGGTTGAGGATGTAGAAAGGTTCAGAGAACAGAGAACCGTAAGCCCTGAAACCCGGAAACACAGCCTCGATGATCTCTCCCGTCTTCAGAAAGGCCACAGGGTGTGCCTGCCACATCTTCAGCCAATGCGCATGGGCAGACGCATGCATGCAACCGGGCCCTCCTGCAAGGAAGGCTTCTTGCGCACAGCCACTTGCGTCTCGAAGACCTGAGAGTGCATGGCTTTTGGACCTCTTCCCCCTTGGGATGCGGAACTGGACCTTGATTCGTACTGGTGCATTTGCCCGTTTTGCTCCACAGCACCCCCAACAAGTCCCCAAGCAACATTGCCCAATCCTGGCTGACATGTTTGTCCTCTTCACAAAGTCCCCGTTTTGCTCCAAAAGCACCCACCAACACGCATCCAAGCAACTTTACCCCAATCCTGGCTGACATATTTGGCTTCTTCGCAAAGTCCCCGTTTTGCTCCGCAGCACCCCCAACAAGCCCCCAAGCAACTTTACCCCAATCCTGGCTGACATGTTTGGCTTCTTCGCAAAGTCCCCGTTTTGCTCCAAAAGCACCCCCCAACAAGCCCCCAAGCAACTTTACCCCAATCCTGGCTGACATGTTTGGCTTCTTCGCAAAGTCCCCGTTGTGCTCCACAGCGCCCAGCAAGCCCCCAAGCAACTTTACCCCAATCCTGGCTGACATGTTTGGCTTCTTCGCAAAGTCCCCGCTTTGCTCCACCGCACCCCCAACAAGCCCCCAAGCAACTTTAGGATTGGGGTGACATGCTTGGCTTCTTCGGAAACTCCCCGTTTTGCTCCGCAGCACCCCCAACAAGCCCCCAAGCAACTTTACCCCAATCCTACCCCCAACAACCCCCCAGCAACTTTACCCCAATCCTGGCTGACACGTTTGGTCTCTTCGCAGAGTCCCCGTTTTGCTTCACACCACCCCCAATAAGCCCCCAAGCAATTCTACCCCAATCCTGGCTGACATGTTTGGCTTCTTTTCAAAGTCCCCGTTTTGCTCCACAGCACCCCCAACAAGCCCCCAAGCAACTTTACCCCAATCCTGGCTGACATGTGTGGCTTCTTCGCAAAGTCCCCGTTTTGCTCCAAAAGCACCCCCCAACAAGCCCCCAAGCAACTTTACCCCAGTCCTGGCTGAAAGCTTTGGCTTCTTCGCAAAGTTCCGGTTTTACTCCACAGCACCCCCAACAAGCCCCCAAGCAACTTTACGCCAATCCTGGCTGACATATTTGGCTTCTTCGCAAAGTCCCCGTTTTGCTTCAAAAGCACCCCCCAACAAGCCCCCAAGCAGCTTTACCCCAATCCTGGCTGACACGTTTGGCTTCTTCGCAAAGTCCCCGTTTTGCTCCAAAGCACCCAACAAGCCCCCAAGCAACTTTACCCCAATCATGGCTGACATGTGTGGCTTCTTCGCAAAGTCGCTGTTTTCCTCATGACTGGGCTCCCGTCCACACAGAACCAGCGTGGCTCCCAGTCCTCACACCTCAATGTGCACCCCAACCCAGAAACTTTCGCGCACCCAAAGCCCAGAAAAAAAAATATAATAATAATAATAATAAGAAGAATAATAATAATAATAATAATAATAATAATAAATAATAGTAGTAATAATAATAAAAATAATAACAATAATACAAAACTGTTGCAGTCCCGTCACAAGACTCCCAGGCTGACCTCTTTGCCATCCTGCAGCACCTCTGATGGAAGTCGAGGTTTGGGAAGGTTTAGGGCTTAGGGTTTGGGGTTTAGGGTTTAGGATGGGTTTAGGGTTTGGGATCCTGAGTTCGCCACCCAGGCTTCGCAGTCGTCCGACCTAGTCAGGCTGTGCGATTCGGAAGTTCGGAGTGGCAGGCTCAGGCGAAGGCTCAGTCGTGAGTCCACGGCACATCCCGGTCATCCTTCTCTTCGTCGGCAAGCCTCACCCAGCCTCAGCTAGGAGGCAACTGCGTGGCTTCCCGTTTTCGAGACTGATTCTCTCAATCTGTCTGAGAATACTGCGGCTGTAACATTGTGGCCGTCTCTGCACTGGTGGCAGGTAGCACATACAGTGGTCGCGGCGGTCTTTGCAGCGACGGATACGTGGGCTTAGTAAACCCTAAGCGGCCCTAACAGTCACCCTATACCCCCAAACCCCAAATCCAAAACCCAACACTCCTAAATCTTAAGCCCAACACCCTAGACCCAACACCCCAAACCCTAAACCTTTGAAGCTTGGGGATCAGCACCTGGGCCTCAGGCCTGCTTTGACTTCCGCGATCTCGACCACCTCCCCGGCCTCTCAGGGAGGGCTTTTGGGAATGGGGGGGAAGTCATGTCATTCGGGCGGGGTTCCGAGAATAGTTTGGGATGTTCCCCTTATACTAACAGTCCTTAATCGGGATTATAGTACCCCTATGATAATCCCTGTAAGGGCTGCTAGTATAAGGGGAACATCCCAAGCAATATTACATAATGTTACGCATCCTTGCGTAGCGTCACGTGTTCTCACATCTTGTTGCATCTGATTACAGCACTGGTCCTACATCTCAGCGACACATGATTACATGTCGCTACGTATACTGTTTCATGTTACTACGACATGTATCGAGAATCATGTTTGCAAAGGGGGCAGCCCGCCCCCCTCCTCCAACCCCTTTCAAGAACTGGGCAACAACTTGATCCTAGAAATGTAGTGCCATCAACCCCACATGAATCATTAGAAAACCCGGGGGCCCTCCAAGCCCCTTTCACAAGCCGGCAGTGGGCGTTCAAAACCCACGTGAATCCCTTCTAACATGCGAACAGGCCCTGAGTCCGATCGTTGGAAGCAAAAGGGCTCCGGCATCGAGGAAGGTGACAGTGGGAGATGTGAGGGTCGGGGATTTTCGGACCTCGGTCTCTCGCGCTGCGACTCGCGCTGCACAGCGGCTTTTGTGACACTGCAGGACGCTCCACGCCTGAGTCTATGCCCCCTGCTGCAACACGTGGCTGAAACACCACACGGATCCTGAGCAGCAAGCTTCTACAAGAGATGCGAACGATGCTAGACCCGGATCTTGGTGGCTCGCCATCTTGGGTTCGCAAACGTACTTGAGCGGCGGTCCTGTATGTCATGCACGTGCTGGTCGAAAGGGCAGCAGTCCACGTGCAGACGCTCCTGCTTCAGCGGCCTTGATCTGGGCTGAGGTCGCTTCACCGCAACTTCTTGCTTCACAGCTTCTTCGGAAGCAGCTTTGCCAGTCTCTCCTGGAGGGCCCAGCTGGGGGGCGCAAAGAGTGGTGCTGGAGCCTTTGGGGGCTTCCGACACTAGGGGTACCTCATTGGGGTCTTTTATTATGAGGGAATCCCTTCTATATATTTGGGGTTTCTATTCGGGCCCCCTGTTTTCGTAAACCCCCCATGTCTAGCGCGCAGGGATGTGCCTGGGCTGACACCGGCCCATTGGCCGAAGCGGGATTGTCGGCCCGCTGTCATGGCCCCAAACCAGGAGCTTGTCTATGCACAACGCACTGCTTATAATGTTCAGTGTGCATGGCTGCGGAAGAATACTGTCGACTTCTCTTCGGTAACTCAAGCACGGCTGACCATGGATAAGCGTCTCAGCTTCCTCATCTTTCTGCATGATCCAACTGCAAACACGCCTTGATCTCGAAGTATGGCAGGCATGAAACAATCGCAGGGAGTCCAAACACAGCATCGTTCTATCCTCGGTGAGCCTTGCAGGTTCTCTCGCTCGGACATCGCAGCATTTTTTGGAGGGCAGCCAGAGGGACTGCAGACATCCGACGAAGTCGAGCTCGCAAGATGCTCCGAGAAGCTGTACGATGGCGAAAGTTCGCGCACGAAGCTCTTGGAGTCTGCTGTCTCATGGTCTGAAAGTGCAGGGATGCACCACGCTGTCGGTGCCAAAACTTGCATTGAGAATTAGGCAACACGGCCATGCATTGCTGGGATGCGCCCTTCGAATCCTACACGAAACGCCTAAAGCCTGATGAAGCAGCTTGACACCTAAAAATCCTAAAAACCCTAAAAACCCGTGGCTCAAATGCAGAAGGCAGAGCTCCCCGTGCGTTGCGCCAGCCTCTCCCGTAGGCTCATGTCGCTCGTGCTTCTCGTGCTTCGAGCTGCCTTCGGCGACACATCCGGAAGGCAGCGCTCGCCTTCGCTTGTGACAGGTGTGACAGGTGTGGCTTGTAAAGCCTTTGCCTCTGGATCACCCCGAGCTTTCTTTGTCCTCCTTGGCTGACGTGGAGGTGCTTTTTTTGGTGCCGCGCATCCATGGCCACCTCTCTTTCTGGCGCGGGAGCCGTTTGACTTGTTGCCGGTCTCCAGCCCGCACTTTGGCGCACAATTTTCAGCCGCGATCTCCTCAGACGCGGCCGAGGAGGTCTTCTGCTCAAGCTTGCGGAGAGGCCCAGTTGCTGGTGACGGGGGATCCTGGCTCATCTGAGTCTGACAAAGGCTATCTTGTGAGAGTTGGCATTCTGAATCTCCACCTTGGGATAGGAACTGCACCTCAGCAAAGGGTGTAGGGTTTAGGGTTTGGGGTTTGGGGTTTGGGGTGTAGGGTTTAGGTTTTAGGGTCTGGGGTTTGGGATTTGTAGACTGGCGCATTGCCTTTAGTTACCTGCCAAGACTCACAGCAACTTGTTTCAGGCTAGCAGCTTCCGACACTTCCTCCTCAGACTCTCCGCCGTCATCCGCTTCATCCTCCTCCTCTTCCTTGTCTTTCGGCTAACAACTTCAAGGGACGGAAACAGACCTGGAAACTGCATCACAAAAACACTTCCAGTGCTCTCGTCTGCCTCTTCCACGGAACTCCGCGCCAGCCGATGGTTGCGAAGCAGCACCAGCCAGTCCATGCCCATTGAGCACTGCAAACAGAAGGCCGGCTCATCGGGCATCAGCCTGGCGGGCAGGGGCAGAACTCACGGTGCTCGCCAAAGACTCGTTTCAAAAAAGCAACACAGCACGGCCAACCACTAGCCTGCTCCTCTCCATTTCGCCGCTAGAGCAGATACAGCTCTAGGTTGCGCTAGCTTTCGCGAGCTCCCTGAACATCCCCGAATCATCTCCGACCCTTATTCCGGCCCCCACAGAAGGAATCCGAACAAGCGCGCGCCAGGGCAGCTTCCTCGCTGCGCCGGTGAAGAGGACCGCCGCACAGGCCAGGTGCAGCAGTTCTTGGCAGTGGGGACACTGGACGATTCGGTCCCCCGGCCGGAGCGCCTCCGAGCATCTTCCACACTCGGAGGGTTCGGCAGGAAGCACCTTACTTTCTCTTGGCTAGCAGGGAATGAGGGCATTAGGGCCCTAGATCCCCCTATATATATATATATACATATGTATAGATATATATATATATATATGAATGCCATGATACGCTTGTGAATCTTGGAAGCTGGCCATCGTCTGCCGTTGCTTGCACAAGTGCAGCAGCTCCTCGAAGCTGCCGTGGGTCAGGGTCAGGTGGTTGGGCAGGCTCGCGCCAAACATCCTCTCCAAGCTAGCCCATAAACCTGCAAGAGGCTGCTTGGCACCACGCAGATAGGGAAACTTTGCGGCTGCCAAAAGCCTTCTTCGAGAACGTGTACACGCAAAGGCATTCGACCTCAGCCCGCAGCTCATTCTGAGCTGAGGCAAAGCAGAACAAAAGGAGCTGGAGCCGCCACTGAGGGGCAGTCAGTACGGAACCGCCTGCAGCATCTCCAGCAGCACTCGGACGTTCTTGTCGACGCCTACCCTGGCACTGTGCTGTTCAGCATGCTTCCGAGGACCGACTGCACCGACAAGAGTCACAACAAAGGATCGGGGACCACCAAATCTAGGACTGTGGCACAGGGCACTGCTTCCCATGCCCCGCAAGCTTGCAGAACCTCGGAGTGCTCAAGTTGGGAACGCCCGGCGGCCGCCACGTGATCGAAACTGCAGATTGTGCTGAGGGGGCAACGCCAAGTGTGCGACCTTCTCCTTCACATGGCGAGAGAGCGACGGATGCTGCCTGCAAAATGGCACAACATGAGGTCTGGCACACTTGGGGCGGCTTTGGGATGTTTGAGGTCAATTTCTCAGAGCCGCACCAGGCATACTCAAACTGGAGGGCCAAGATTTTGCCAGGGAAGCCCCATACCTTGCAACGCTCCATGCACCTACCCATCTCCAACAATCGAAGCTAGCGAAGTGAACGCGGCCAGGTTGCGCAAAGAACCATCCTCCACGGCTTCCATTTATGCGTCCTTGAGCAACGATCAGCATCTGAGGGCAATTTGGGTAGGCAACTGAGCATGCAACCCAAGGAAGTTCCGCAGTTCCGCTGGGGGCTGTACTTGCAGGCGCCACCCTTGATTTCGCCATTGTGCTGACGAAGCCGTCTCTTCGGATCCGTCGTAAACCCGATGTAGGTCCTCACATCGCAAGAACACAACTCGAGCTGGCCTGCTTGTGTCACACAGGCGATGTTACTGGTATCCTCCGCTCGTTGCGCGCAGATTGCAGCAAATAGCAGCCATACAGCAGCGAGCGATCTTTCCCCGTGGGCATGTGGATCGTGCGAGCATGCGCAGTGGTAGGACATAAATCTCATACTGCACAACCTCGTAACATGGCATACGGAGGCTTTCAGTTTGTCCAAGTCGTCTAATTACCAGCTCATGGTTTGCACCGCATGCCTTGCCGATGTCTTGAAGAGGGGCAGGTGGGCACAGATGCTCAAAGGCTCTCAGTAGTTCCTAGCCTATCATGGCTTGTGCACGTGGGTTTGGGATCTGTGGGGGCTATCAGTTGCTTTCGTACATTGCAGCGAAATACTCTCTCAAGCGGCTACCGCGGGCCTAGGAGCATGACGGGCAGCATCATGACAGATTCGCAGATGCACGACATGGTCAAAGGACTTGAGGCAGGAAAACCCTGCAAGTAGTGAAGACTCCGCAATGGCCACGCGCCTTTTCCAAGCGCGGTTCATCTCCCCACGCGCAGCCGATCACCGCCATGCGGGCCGCGAAGCAGCCTCGCCAATCTCTCGTATACATTCAGTTCAAAAAAACTTACACATATATATATATATATATATATGTATAATATACAGATATATATATATATATATATGTATATATTATATAGTCATATAGCCGCCTTCCAGCAAACCGGAGCTTCTGTCGATTTCCACGAGCCTTGGGGATTGGCCGCCGAAGCGCGCCGCTGCGAGGCACCTTCGCGAAGGTGCGATCACTGTTGACGCTAACACAAGGGTTTTTGGAAATTACAGTCCTCGCAAAGGTCACGTTGCAAATCAAGCTGCTTTATGGACCCCCCCCCCCCAAACAAGAGAGGGACCCTGATTGAGAAAAGTCTTGACAGCCCCCACAGCTGTTCAGTTTGCCACGTAGGACTTCATGTGGGACTGAGCTTGCAGCGGACTCCGCACCGCGTGCGAAAACGGCCGACCTTTCGAGACTTGCGTATGAGTGAGTGTATACCGGCGGGACGGGGAGGGGGAGGGGGGTTGAGAAACAATGTGTTCGCTTCAAGGTTTAGGTTTCGGGTTCAGGGATCCCGGCTTCGGGAATGGGATCAAGCTTACGGTTTGCGGATTCTGGGGCCTGCCGCTGTCAGTTGCCCTCGCTCAGTGCCCCTTACTATCTCAGTGCGTTGACACTGGCTTGCCAATTGAACTCGGGCGCCGGCTTTGCAGCCTTGCTTGCGCCGGTCGCGCCTCGGCTCAAGACTGTGCTAGCTACGGGGGTCATCTTGTGTGGGGTCTGACTCTAATTTGCTACCCTGATGCACGCTTCATGCGACCTTATGATTTAGCAACCTCAGATGAACAGACAGCAGAGAGAACTCGCGACACCAAAGCTCTATCAGACACTGAAATCTCGGAAGAGCGCAACATCCTAGTCCAACTCTGACATCATGAATCCCCAGCGCATCACAACTCATCTTATCATGGCTGGGACAGGTACGGAAGCGGGGTGCAGCGAGGTTACGTCGGGCAGAGATTCCGACGGTGCGCTTAGTTCCGCTCAATCTTCGGGCACTGGGGTTGGGGTTCATCGGCTCATTGTACGCTGTCGGGTGGTCAGCCGTCTCACTTCCTAGCAACTTTCGACGCGAAACCAAAAAGCTATGCCCGATGCCCCACGCAAGCCCGTACAACTTGCACTCATCGGACCAGCACTTTTCAAACCCCACAAATGTCAACTATCAGCACTTTCGTGCAAGACCTTCTTGCGAATTGCACTCCTGAATTAAAAAAACAACACCAACTGAAAGAAACATGTGCGCCAGCACTCATTTGAGAACTTTTTCAAAAAGTAAAAACCGACCAGATTGTCGCGGCCCGGCAGCAGTGCGCCGCACGTGGGCGACACTCCACCGCCCCGAAGCCCGTCCTGAGCCAGCAGTAGCATGGGATCGCAGAGAACGCTGCAGGATACAGGGTACGTCGGGTATGTGGCAAGTAGGATAGTGGCTATTCAGCCGATTCGGCTGAAATTCAACTGAAACCTGCAAGAACACCCCGAGCCTAATTGCACAAAGGGAGGGAGGCAGGGAGGAGGGAGGCAGGGAGGAGCGAGGGAGGGAGGGAGGCAGAGAGACAGAGACAGAGAGAGAGAGAGAGAGAACGAGAACGATGACAAGAACGAGAAAGAGAAAGAGAAAGAGACAGAGAGAGAGAGAGAGAGAGCGAGAGAGAGAGGCAAAAAAAGTGTTGTCGTGGGTGTGATAGATCTGATAGAACATGTCACTGAAAGCAAATGGGTTCGAGGCCCTCTCTCGCAGATTTCCCGACTGCTACGTAGCAGGTGCGGCCAGGGCTCTTGGTCTTCGGAGCAGGGAGATTGCACGCCATGTAGGCGGCGCGCCTTGGCAATGGCAACCTGTTTCGAAAACCTTGACAGCTGAACCCACGGCATGTATGGCCAACGCAATCAGGAGGTGCAAGTTCAAAGGGCTCAACCCACCATGCTGCTCAAGCTAGAAGCCTCAACAACCCGCGTGTAGCCCTCAGCGCCAGGCCATCGGCGCTCATCTAGGCGCTGCTGCTTCATCTTGGCTTGCGGGTGGATTTCCGATTTCTGATTCTTTGGGTGATAGAGGACTTCAGTGAGTCACGATTGGCTATGCGAATTTGGGCTCGCAAGGTGCAAATGTGAAGCCGGCTGCTTGAAACCATGCAAAATCTTGCCAAGTGGAGATGCGAAGAAGTGCTTGCATCAGCAGTCGTGACCTCTTGGCGAAATGGTTTCTGACCTGGTTTCACTACCCTGCAAGGCTTGCTTGACAAGTCAAGCGCGAATTTCGTCAAACGCTGCACACCACTTCCATCCACCTCCTTCGAAACTGCTACGCATGACGCATGTCCACTGTCCACTCATCAAGCTCAAAAAGGGTCTTCCTACGCTTCGAGTTTCCAACACCGTCCGAGGTTCTGCGCGCAGCGCTGCCAGAGCCCGCTCGGTCTCGCCCTGGAGGTGAAGCAGGCTAAGGTCTTGAAGTGCCTCAAATTTCTCATCTGACCTCATGACTCGTAGAGTTATGGCACGGCACAGATGCCGCAGTGCAAGGCCATCAACAACATAACTCCCTGGGCCCGCATCCTCCGCGCTGAGTACCCACTCCAGAATCCACCCATCCCCGTAGCCCTGCAACTCGACACGGCCTGGCGTGGCTCTTGTTTCCTGGGTTGTTGCAGATGCTTCAAACTGGCTTGTTAGTCAAAAAAAGGTCCCTAAAAGCTGCGCGATGCCCCCATGCGACACTACAGAATCTGACTGCGTAATTCTTCAACTGCCAAGAATCGGCACCACTCGCCACCACCAGGGCATTGCTGATGGGGTCTTTGCCTCCATCCTGAAGCAACTGAGCATGCCAGAAGATGCATCCAGCACAGGCTAGGAGAAGCGCGTGGGATCTGGTAAGAAACGTGCAAGGGCTAGTTGCATCCTACCCGGAAGCTCCCCAACGCTGTCTCCCCAACAGTATCTTCCCCCACGAATTGTCACCGCCAAGCCGCAGAAGTGGACTGCTGGGCCTCCGACATGCGCAGACTACACTTGAGGAACCTTTCGAAGTGTCCAAAATGGGTTGGGACGCAGCTGCGCCAGATTGTGCCAAGGCCCCGGCGCCGTGCTTGCATCCGCATCCTGCAACACCACCCCGTGGCTCGCACTCAAGCGCGCGGAGTGAAAGCTGAGGAAAGGGCCACGTCCACATCTTTGAGGCTGCCGAGGTCCTTCCTGAGATCGCGATCGAAGCTTCGCTCCGACAGCTCGAGCAGCACAGAATATGGCCAAGCGACTTTAGGACGAAGCTGCCTGGTGGACTGGTGGGCCTGGCAAGCGACACGAGTGTTCCAGGGCACTGACACCCAAGATGGGGCTCGGGCGGTGTCGCTGCTTGCGGCGAGGCCACTGCCGGGTCCTTGGCGAAGGACGCGTCTCAGGTCGCCCCACTTGGGAGGCGTGGGACGGAACGCACTGAAAGCATCCTTCTTGACTTTCTTCTACCGGTCGGTCCCTCGCCTCGGCCTCAAGGGCCGCCAGGGTTTCGGCGCTCAGCCGCAGTGCCATTCCGGGTGCAATCTGTGATGAAAGGTGCAGGTTGGTCAAGCGATTGTGTCTCAAGCAGGCCGAGTGGGGCTACAGTAATGACCCAATGCCTGCCAACCCAATTCTACAGGTACAAGGGGAAAGTTGACAAGGGGCCTACCGTTTCAACGCGTTATGACCCAGCTCAGGCTTGATAACTGCCTTGTGCACTGATCTGGAAGAACCGTCTTGTGCGCGGGCAGTGCTTCTTTGAGCGCTTCGGCTGCTTTGCATCGGTCATGATCTTGAAAGCCCAATCTCCCTACGAGTACCCTGTGGCCGCGAAATGAGCTCGCATGCATGTCCACGCTTTTCACGGCTTTCTCAGGCAGGCGTTCCGCTGACGTCCTTAGCTGACCAAGCTCTTGTGACGCTCTCCGGTATCCTCGGGAGCTGGGAAACTGAGAACCACGCGATGACATCCCACTTGCCACAGAGCTGCTGCTTCAAAAGCAGGCTGCGGTACTCCTAGCAAAACAGGAGCTTCGAAAGCCTGTCCAGAGCACAGGGCATGGGGTCCTTCTCGCCGCACATGGCGATCAGCTGGCTTCCCATGGGCTGCCACTCCAACTTCCAAACCTCCTGCAGCAGAAGCAGAGAGCCAGTATGTCGGGGTAAGTGGTTTAGGGTTTAGGGTCTAGGGTTTCGGGTCACCAACACTACACCAGGAGGCCTCGTCAAGCTTGACCGGCGGGTCCAAGATCCATCCCGGACCCGATTCCTGGCCTCAGCAAAGAGTTCAGCGTAACTGAAAGGTCCATCCCATCCCGAAAGTCAATTTGAGACCCTGAGTCCGAAAACGGAGTGGGTCGAGTCAGAAACCGACACGAAAACACAATGGATTGGCTTGCGAGCGTGTGGCTTCCAATGCAACAAACATCGGAAGCTTCGCTTCATGGTGTCGAGGCTTATTTGGTCTACATGGAGGTCGCCCGACATAATGATATACCCATCTCTTTGTGTAAGAAGGACGCCTGAAAGGCCACCCTCTTCCAAGCGCTGGCCCCCCACCCATCCTCCTCTTCTGTTCTGTTAACCGCTTGGCGCTCGAATGGGCCTCATGCGAAGTGTAGCGGGGACTGACACCAATCAAAGGACTGGGGCGAGTAGCTGAGAAGCAATCACTTCTTGCACCCCCATGGATTACGAAGCCCTAAACCCTAAACCCTAAACCTTTCTAAGCCCCCGAACTCTGTGCTTTAAGCTTGAGCCCCAGGCGGCGAAGGAAGCCGACCTGCTTCCCCTTTGCGAACCTGGGCCGTCTCAGCTCTTAGGGAGCCTTGGGGCCTTGAGGACTAGGACCCTAGGGTTTAGTCGGCTTTCCTTCTCGATCTTCGCGATTTCGTGAAGCTGAGTTTCCGGGATGAAGAGCCAAAGGCCCGCGCGCAAGCATGTCGCCGCAGCCGTCCCACGGCTTCCAGGCAACATCGCGGACGGGCTCCTCCCCAGACTATCCCTGCGCCCCCGAGAACCCTGGTTTAGCATCCTGAGAATTCGTCTTCTGACACATACATGGGTAAAAAAACAAATTCTCAAGATGTTCAGGGTTCAGGGCCGAAAGCCCGAGAGACCCTAAGCCCCTAAGCCCCTAAGCCCCTAAGCCCCTAAGCCTCGACAGTTCATCCTGGCATGCAACCCGAAACCCTAAACCCTAAACCCTAAACCAAGAGGATCCTCCGGCTCTGGCCGCTCGAGCTCCTCCTCTCGAAATCGGCCATGCACCTTGGTGAGTGAGGACATGAACCTAGGGTTTAGGGTTTAGGGTTTAGGGTTTAGGGTTTAGGGTTTAGGGTTTAGGGTTTAGGGTTTAGGGTTTAGGGTTTAGGGTTTAGGGTACAAGATTCTGATGAGCCACAGTCTCCCAAACTACCTTGCGTGATGCAGTTTTTTGTTGCGCACTTGGCGGCGCCTTTTGTACAACGTGTGGCTAGAGTGGACACAAGGCACCACAAGTGTGCTTCGCAGCCACAGCTGGCTCTCGAGTTGTTTGAACAACATGGCTGGCGCCCGCAAAGACTGACCCTAGACCCTAGACCCTAGACCCTAGACCCTAGACCCTAGACCCTAGACCCTAAACCCTAAACCCTAAACCCTAAACCCTAAACCCTAAACCCTAAACCCTAAACCCTAAACCCTAAACCCTACCGGAAACCAGGAAGAGCAGAAGCTGCTGCGACGAGCTACAGCAAGGAATGTTCTGGATTGCTGTTGAGGAACTTAAGATATGTCACCCAGAAGGAGGAAGCCATGTGATGCACTATCTGTGTGCATGCACACACATGCTTTTACACACATGTGCATATGCGTGTATATATATATATATATACATATGTGTGTCTACATATAATATATATATATATACATATTACATACGCGTACAGAAATATGTATGCATATTTGTATATATATATATATACACGCATATATATATATATATATAATGCGTACTTTCATGTATCCAGTAGCTAAGCTCAGGGCCTCCAGGATGTGCCACACTCGCACGCCTGTATTGGGAAGCCAGAGGGACCACACGAAGAAAGCATTCTCCGCCGTCAACCCCACGGCCGCAACTCTAAACTACCCCTCCCCCTCCCCTCCCCCCCCCTCCCCCCTACACCCGCCCTGTCACAAAAAGACGGCTTGTGTGTGGAGCGTTGGCTTGAACGGTCTGACACAAAGTGCTTCACGCAACGAGTTGGAGACCCGGGCGAGGAGCATAACAACCCTGCAGCATGGTGTGTGGGGAAAGGGAAAACACAACCACATCACAAATGAAATGACAGTGACAATTTTAAGTCATAGCGTGGTTAGTAACCATGGTAAAGTAACAGCGGTAGTAGCAGCCGCAATAATCGCAATCATAGGACCCCGCCCAGCCCCTAAAGCCAAAGCACCCGGTGACATTAGGTATAACCAAGGGTATCCTCTGGGGGGCTACAGGAACGTCACCCTAAATCCTGAACCCCGAACCCAAGACAGGCACAAAGGGCACCACCCAAAAGAAAAGGAGCGCACCGTCGTCACCGGCGGTGGCCAGGCCTAGACTGGTTTCTGGTAAAAAGTCGGGGGCTTTTGTTTACATGTCGGGCCGGGGAAAGGGGAGGGGGAAGGACAGGGGAGGAAGGCGGGGTTTTAGGGTTTGCCCACCGTTCTTGCAAAGCCAACATTTGGGCACTTTCGGGATTTCAGCCTCTCCTCTCCAGTGTTCTTTGGCGGTTAAAGCATGCATGCTTGTTCGTTTTTGGTCATTAGTCATTAGGTGCTAACGTCCACGAGGGCACACAAACGCCAGGTGTATGCCCTCAGTTTGGGGTTGAGAGCTTTGGATGCTTTGCGGGTTTAAGGGCCTCGGGCTTTAGGCTCCAGGAGCCACGGGCTTTAGGGCAGGACAGGAGGTTGAGGATTTCAGGGGGGGTGTAGGCTGGGGCCCTGGCAGGCTCCTGCCAGCTCCCCTTTCTTGTGAGGGTCCACCTGGTCTGCGCGCTCTGTTGGCTTGAACTTCCTCTGCAAATAAGTAATACTTTGGCCTGCTGTTTACTGGTGAGGGAGCACTCATCAACCCCTCCCCTTCGCCGAAATCCTACCCAAACTATGGCGCAGCCCTGCCGCCAACCTTGACGAAACAATACCGTACCGCCAACTACAGCGGAGCGCTGCCCTAAACTGTTGGTGAGACCGTAGAACCTACAGAAGTGAAACCCTAAAAACCTAAACGGCTTTCAAGCGGAACTGCGGTATGGCCGGGAACCCAGCTGCCGAGGACCAAGACACTGCAGTTGCCTCGTGGAGGGAGTGTGCGGTTGTGCCGGCTTTTGGGGATCTAAGGGGCTTTCGGCTTGAAGCGTTTACGGGCTGATAAGGCTGTGGAGTTCAGAGGTTTAGGGCTTTGGGGCTTGAGGTTAGGGCTTCAGGTTCAGGGGGTTTAGTTTTATAATTATTCGCAGAACAGGAGTTGCATAAACACGGATATTTGCAACTGGGTGCATGTGCGGTCCCCATCCGGCGCCTTGGCCTTGTGCACCGAAAAGCTCTCCGACTGCCATCGATGTTCGACATCGGTTTCACCTGGTATCCGTGGCCCAGAAACACACGCGAGCCTGTTTTGGGTTTTGGGTTTAGGGTTTAGGGTTGACGCAGCTATCAGGCTTCGGAACCCGTGCCTGAACGCAGGGTTCCCTGGTGAATGGTCACAGAGATGGTGCCATCTGACAGAGCACAGGCATACGCCTCAGCGACAGCAGAATGGAGCGAGGCATCTATGTATCTAATATGGCATGCCAAGGCTGGTGCGGCGGTACCCATGCTGGGCGGAGCCCAGGACACGGCCTCAGTTTGCTTGAGCCACCGCGAGCATCGAAGCAATAGCACTGTCTAGTGCACAGTACCTGGGCGACTTGCTGTGACCTCACCATGTCTACTGAGATCCTCCTCGTGGACCTGCAGAGCCGACAGCTGCCAATGCTCCTTTCTGAAGCTTGCATCGTTCTCTGAGCTTGATGCCACCTGCCACCTCTGCATGTCATGGCAAGGTCCCCAAAGAAAGACCTCCAGTGGCGTTCCAACTGCCGAGCTAGATACAAGCAGCCTGGCTGAAGTCACGAGAGCCAAACTACGACTCCTGCGCGAGCTACTACAGGAACAGTTGACAGAGCCACAAGGCTGAGGACAGTACGCGGCCATCAGCACCAGCCGACACGAGCAGTGCACCCGCGCCAGTTCCAACTGGGGCCCAAGACACCTCTCACGTACGAAATATTGGCTTACAGGGCTGAAGCTTTATTGTCATTGCGGAACTCCGCCATACAATATGACAGGTAGAAGACTGCAAGAACGGGTGGAAGTGCTTGAAGGGAATCTGTGCGCTGGCGCTCTCAGCACGCTGTGCCTGATGAACGGCGCCAGTGTGGGCGGCCAAGTTGCACAGAAAGGTGGGCTCCTGGATGTGCCAATTGGGGGCTTCCGAAATTTGGGGGGTGCCAATTTGGTGTCCTTATTACAAGGGAATCCTACTGCTTGGGGTCTATACTAGGCAAGGACACTTGTTGGAGGGCGACGATTGGGCGAAAAATGTTGGCGATGTGGCGGCAAGACTTCAGACAAGGCCAACTCAAAAACGGCACGTGCCACAGCTTCGAACTGCGCAACCATGCAAAAGTGGGATGTGCACCTAGGCCTCACCCCACATGAGGGGGACGGCGGGGAGATTGTTAGAGGAGTGCCTCAAAAGGGACCCCAATTCAATTTAGAACAACCCCCATGCTGCCCCATGCTGAGGAAAGCAAGTACGTGGCACGAGCCAGCGCCAGCTGTCAGCCCACGTGAAAGACTCCCCTAGTTTGAGATTCCGTATCTTGGGATCTAAAGGGCTGGCACAAGACACAACGGAACTCTCCAAGTCTTGAGACTTCTGCAAAACCTACTACCATGCACAGTGCTTCTGGCAACGCGTGTGCAGATGCAAGGTCCTGCGGATTGTCGACCTTCCAAAGCTTCACTAAGCCATCGGATGACCTCAGAGCTGGCGGTGGCTGCAATCATCCACTACTTCACAGAGCACGTGGAACAAGAACCGGACGCAGTGGCCAGTCTTAGGCACAGGTCGTCCAGCTGCGTGTCCAGGATTGCGCCTTTCAAAAAGGAAGAGTCCATCGAAAGCTGCGGGTCACGATTGCCCATCGCTGCCTTTGTGCCCGCTGTCAAACTCGGCCACGACTGCCATCCATGCACCTGACATGCTCGAACTGAATGGCATGGCATGACAACCCTAAACCCTGACCCCTAAACCCTAAACCCTAAACCCTAAACCGCTTGTGGCAGTTGAGGAATCATGTCCAGCCGGCGAGTCTACCCAGCCGCGGTGACCATGCACGTACGGGCCGGCTATTTGAAGTTTGGCTGCGTGGCCGTTCTAACAGAAAATACCGTAAGCAGACAAGCACTTGTGATCACTTCTGCTGCTGCTTGAAGGCTCCGAATACCAGCTGGGAAATCTTCAGTTGGTCGAGCTGCCCTGTTGATGGTATCCCATGTCTGTCTTGTCGTCTGAACGCATGTGTTGTTGTTTGAGCTCCCAGTACAGAAGAGGCCATATGGCTGTCAAGCAACAGGACTTTCGTAGCTCAGAAGGAATGGCCTAAGCCTCAATGAGCAGCACAGGCCCTACCGGCCCCAGCACGCACCCTTTTTGGGCCGTTCATGCCGTTCATGGGGCTTCTATGTCTTTGAGGCGCCCCCAGCATGAGCCGGCAGGATCCCGAATCGAGCTCTCACTGGATGGTCTCGTCCAGGGCTTGGTAGGCGTGCTTCGGGGCACCGGTGAACCAAACGCGGGCCTGGGAGGGGCGGGAAGGGGGAGGGGGGGTTGGGTGTAGGGCTTTAGGGGTCAGGTACGGGGGTTCGTTTCAGAGAGTAAGGCACTGCCAAAGCCGCACGGGCCTTGTATGCCATGCGGGAGAGGAAGGATCGCGGACGCTTCTGAGTGTCCTGCGTGAATCGGGCAGGGTAGGGAGGGATGGAAGGTAAGGATTGTGTCATTTTGGTGAGGGGTAGGTTCTAGGTTTAGCGCTTTGGGGTTTAGGGTTGCTCTTTCTCTTGCGAGCGCACTCCCTCGACCCCTAATGACCTCTACAGTAAGCCCTATAAGCCCTAGTCCCTATAAACCCTATAAACCCCATAATCCCTAGAAGCCCTACAAGCCCGAAAAGCCCTATAAGCCCTATAATGCCTATAATCCCTCTAATCCCTATAAACCCTAAAATCCCTATGATCCCTATAAGCCCCATAAGCCTGTCCCTCGATGCTCGCCTCGGCTTGTTCCGCCAACGCCCGTGTAGCTTCCAGGCCTCCCAGAATCCGAGAAGATATTGGGGTGTTAGGGTTTAGGGTTTAGGGTTTAGGGTTTAGGGTTTAGGGTTTAGGGTTTAGGGTTTAGGGTTTGGGTTTTGGGTTTAGGGGTTGATTCAAGTCATGGGCCCTCTTTGGGTCTGCAATTGCTTGTAGTTCAGGGCACCGACAAGACCGCACATGAACAGCAACGGCAGCTCCAAAAAAAGCCCTCCGAAAGCCCCTCCAAGGCTCCGGCGCGCATCCATGCTTGGATCCTCTGCCTGGAGGTATGCTTTTCCAGCCTCGCAGGGGGGGCATCCCCAGGCTTTGGGTGGGAGGGGGAGGGGGGGAGGGGGGTGTTTTCGGGCAGCATCCTTAGGTGGCAAACCCCCTTTCAACGCAAACTTCGGGGTGAGGGCTTAGGGTTTAGGGCTGAGGGTTTAGTGGTTTAGAGTTTATTTAGGGTTTAGGGTTGAGGGTCCCTAACCCTGAACCCTAAACCCTCGAAGAGTAGAGCTGCGTCAAAGGCTCCTCGTACCAGGTGGCTTCGTTGAGGCCCAGGTCTGGCAAGTGCTGCGCCATGAGCACGTGGATGGGGTTGGTGTTGAAGTAGCCTCCCACGGCACAGAGTTCAGGCAGCTGCAGCCAGTGGGCTTTTAAGGGTTGAGGGTTTTAGGGTTTAGGGTTTAGGGTTTAGATTTAGGGTTTAGGGTTTGGGGTTTTAGGGCTTAGGGTTTAGGGTTTAGGGTTTTAGGGTTTAGGGTTTAGGGTTTTGGGCAGGGCCCGTTCTTGTTAAGGTTTAGGCTGCAGGCACAATCCCTCCCAGCAGTACAGGGCAAGCTGCTGTAGCGCAATCGCGCCAAGGCGGATTTGTAGGACCTTGGATCAGGGAGACCCTGAACCCCTAAACCTCTAAATGGGCCTTCTTTCACCTAAAGGTATCTGATTTGGAACAGGCCCCCGATCAGCGAGCTTCGCCCTCCTATCTGTGTAGCGGACTCGCTCTTGGTGGCGTAGAGATAGCGGATGCTCTGGTGGTGATCCAGGGCCTGCGCCGGAGAGGGTTTCGGGCTGAGGGTTTTTGGAGTACGGATAGGGTTCGTCGAGAGATGTAATATAGGGTAGGATGAAGGGCCCCAAAGGGTTCCCTCCGAGAATCCCATTAAGTCTAGGGTTTCGGGTATGGGCGTGGGGTGGTCCTTCGAGAGAAGGACCAGGTAGAGTGCAGAACTGGCAAGGAATGTGACGATGCAGATGGGCACGGATGCAACAAGCTCCTCAAGACATTGCAGAAAACACTCAAAGACACCCAAGCCCTAAACCCTAAACCCTAAACCGTAAACCCTAAACCCTAAACCTTAAACCCTAAACCTTAAACCTTAATTCAACCCTAAACCCTAAACCCTAAACCCTAAACCCTAAACCCTAAACCCTAAACCCTGGTCAGGGAAAAAGTTGATCAATGACCTCCAAGCATCAAATCTGACGGCACGGCATGCCCAGCCCGCAGAGGTCACAGCAAGCTGGCTGACGGGCAGAGCCCAGCCTCGTTTAGGGTTTCGGAGCCTCTTTTGGGGTTTAGGAGCCTCGTTTAGGGTTTAGGAGCCCCGTTTGGGGTTTAGGAGCCTCTTTTGTGGTTTAGGAGCCTCTTTTAGGGTTTAGGAGCCTCGTTTAGGGTTTAAATTAGGAGCCTCTTTTAGGGTTTAGGAGCCTCGTTTAGGGTTTAGGAGCCTCTCGAACAAGGATTAGGGTTCAGGGTTTAGGGTTTAAGGTTAGAGATTTAGGGTTTAGGGGTTTCTCGAACAGGGATTAGGGTTCAGGGTTTAGGGTTTAGGGTTTAAGGTTAGGGCTCAGGTCTTAAGGCTTCGAGTTTAGGGTGTAGGGGTTTCTTGACCACGGATTAGGGTTCAGGGTTTAGGGTTTAAGGCTCGGGTTCGCTTCTGGCTCTTGAGTATAGACGGAGACAAGAAAGACATATTCCCAGTTCTCCCACTTGTGCTGCCGACTTGAGTTCCTTGCAAGAGGAATTGTACTTCGGGGTGCTGATCTCGCAGCTACCGGATCGTGATCTAGCCCTAAACCCTAAAAGCCGAACCCCCAAACCCTCGACCCTAAACCTACCACGTAGGAGGATGCGCTTCAAGAGCAGGCGATGCGATGGCAGGCGCCTGCAAGGACCGCCTTGTCCAACCTCGGGGTGGTGAAGAAGGTCTCCTTGGAGGCCCTGGCATGACGGAGAGCTTTGTCAGGCGCAAGGTCTGTGTGATTCAAGCACAGGGATTTTAGGGCCTTAGGGGCTTAGGATTTAGGGTTTAGGGTTGAGGGTTGAGGGTTGAGGGTTGAGGGTTGAGGGTTGAGGGTTTAGGGTTGAGGGTTTAGGGTTTAGGGTTTAGGGTTTAGGGTTTAGGGTTTAGGGTTTAGGGCTTACAGACTTGCACCCAGCTTGTGGCCGAGCCTGAAGTGGATAATGCGCTGGGCGCAGTACATAATGGCACCTCAGTAAACTCAACCGAAGCATGCTGAACGGCCTACCACTTTTGCCGGTGTCAGGCTCTGAGCTAAGCAGTCGCCTGGAGACTTGGGCGACGCTCTGCAATACTCTACAATGATAAGTGTCCCCACATGGTTTGATGCATATGTGCCTTTCCTCTGCACATGCACTGTGTTTAGACCCTAGCCTGCAGTAAACACAGCAACACAACACGTTAAGATTCTTTGCGCATTGCAGCTGCAGATGCTCTAAGTTGGCCTGGCTTTTCCCAGACGCAACGTGCTGGAGCACCCATTTGGCAAAACACGTTAAACCGGGCACTACGTGTTACTGCAAACCTCCTCGGCAAGCTTGGCTTCGGCTTAGACTTGGGGAGGAGGGTGGAAGGGGCCCGATTAACAACGGCACTCTTCCCACGTTGGTGTAACCCTGCTGTTGCCACGGGCACCCTTTTAAATCCTAAGACCATCCCAAGCCCCTCCGAGCCCCAAACACCCCCCCTTCCAGCCCTGAACCCCACCAAGGCACACCACATCACCAACGCGCCGCAGAGGACGCGGGAGGCGCAAGAGCCCGGAGGCTCGGCTAACACCTGGGGAGCAACGTGGAGCGACGCGGCCTGTAAGGGGGATTTGCCATGTTTGGTTTTGGGAGGTTGGGTCTTCAGTCTTCAGCTCCCGACCAGCGGGAAGAAAGCGCAGCACGTCAGCTGTATGTGGCTCGCCTAGGCCGTGGCGAAGATCACATGATCTGGGAGACAGACGAACTGCAGCTTTGATGCGTAGTCCCAGGGCAACCAGATCCTTGTTCCAGGGCATGTTCTGCGAGATCTGCTCTACGCAGAAAGCAAAGGTGCTACGCTGCGAGGCACAGTTTGCACTGCACCAGGAGCAACGAAGTAGGATCGAGCGTCTCGTCAGGCTGAAGTGCTCGTTCACAGTCACGGCCAGAGAGGTTCGAGCCCATCAGACCAGTGCGAATCAGAAAGATCCCCTGCATTGAGTTCAACAGGCAAAGCGGTGTGCTCTTGCAGCAAGAAACATGTCGGCCTGCCAGAGGGTAAGAGGAACAAAGCAGAACGAGAAGATGCACGACGAGAAAGTTCCGGTAACGAACATCTTGAGGACCTTGGCGCAAAGACGTCTGAACGCAAGCAAGCAGGCTTTCATGCTGACAATGCTGGGAACGGAGTAGAGGAAGGTAAGTGTAGCACAGCATCTGCCAGCGATGCCTCCCGAGAAAGCTCCGCAGATCGCGCGAGGGTGCTGCCCGCGGTGCTGAACATGTTCTTCTGCGCGCGAGCGCAAGATGGCAAAAGAACAGTTCAGTCAGGCCTCAACACCTTGACGTACTTGTTCTGAGAGCGAGAGAGAGAGAGAGAGAGAGAGAGAGAGAGAGAGAGAGAGCAGAGTTCAGAGCTCCAGACTCAGATGTGCCTCCCCACCCCCAGTGAAAAGAACCACCCTTACGACTCTACCACCCTAAACCCTAAACCCTAAACCCTAAACACTAAACCCTAAACCCTAACATTTATTGGGCGGTCCTCTGGCTGGCCAGTGGCTGCAAGCTTCCGGGCTGTGAGCAGCACAGAGATGAAAGTGTTGAGGAGCACGAGCAGAGTCCGGGCCTTCTGCTCCAAACCCCCTCCAAACTCTATGATTTGCTAATAAGAAGTATAACATGTAAAATGACACGCATACATGACAATTCCATATCTATATACATATATATATATATATGCTACCCCCCCCCCGTAGCGCCTAGGTTTTACTTAAAAAAGAGTGTGTTTTTCGTAGGATTTACTAAAAAACGTGTTTTTTGAATTATTTTTGAATCGCATGAACGGAATGGAGGATACTGCCCAACACTTAGGCGACAGACGCAGCAAGCAGTGCAACACAGCGTGCGACGGAATCATGTTACACGTGTTTTTGCTTCTGTGCTAGAAAAGACAGGCCTGTAATTAAACTTGTTCATACACTACATTAATTAAAACACAATGCGTAATAGGGAACCTGACCTAGTGGCTTCACTTAAGCATTCATTGAATGAGCTAAAACATGTTCCTTCTTCTTTTCGTGAACAAGCACAGTACTTAATTTAACTAAAGTTTTTCGTTTCTGGAAAATAACATACGTACAGTCTTTCCAACAGTTTGATTAGTCTTCTGAAGGTGTTTTTGCTTCTGTGCTAGAAAAGACAGGCCTGTAATTAAATTTGTTCATACACTACATTAATTAAAACATAATGCGTAATAGGGAACCTGACCTAATGGCTTCACTTAAGCATTCATTGAATGAGCTAAAACATGTTCCTTCTTCTTTTCGTGAACAAGCACAGTACTTAATTTAACTAAAGTTTTTCGTTTCTGGAAAATAACATACGTAAAGTCTTTCCAACAATTTGATTAGTCTTCTGAAGGGTTAAGTAAATAAACTGAGTTCGTAGACCAATAATTAACTAAAGGAATTCAATGAACTAAACTTACTAAGAACAGTATCTACGGCCTTTTGTTTGCTGATATTAATGTAGTCAAAATCATTTCAATTGTGGATTTAGTTTACTTAAAGGTGAAGCAAATGAATGAAACTAATTAGTATACCCTTAACTAAACGAATTCGATAATTTAAAGTAAACAAGCCACGATCCTTAACAACAATTCAATTGGTTCAGCCTGACTAGACTAATTACTTTAAACGAATACTTTAATAGGCCTTCCCAAGAAAAAACTACATTTAGTTTCTTATTCTAAGAGGTAGACAGCATTCAACTAACTAAATGTCTATCCTTTTTTTACTTCAACCTCAACCAGACTAAATGAATGACAGTTGTAAAGCAAATTAGATTAATTAAAGCCTACTTATCAGGAAACTTGACCTCGTCGCGTCATCTAGGCATTACATCGATTAGAGAAAATGTTACTTACATCACAAATAGTTGAATTAGCTTTATTGCTGCTGAACTGTGCTCTCTGAACAAACAAAAACCAATTCTGGAGGCCTATAAATTACAAGGCAGGCCGTCACGAAAAGATTGGTTTTTAGGGACAGTACAGCACTTTGGGGATCTGAAGGGCTGAAAGTGCTGTACTGTCCCTAACAAAGCAATCCCAGAAGCGGAAAACGCTGTACTGTCCCTAAAAAACCTAAAAAACCAATTCTGGGGACCTGTACAGGCAGCCCCTCTTCAAAAGATTGGTTTTTTAGGGACAGCACAGCACTTTCAGCACCTCAGACCCTCAAAGTGCTGTACTGTCCCTAAAAAACCAATCCCATAAACATAAAGTGCCGTACTGTCCCTAAAAAACCTAAAAAACCAATTCTGGAGGCCTATACAGGTAGACCCTCACGAAAAGATTAATTTTTTCGGGACAGTACAGCACTTTCAGCACCTCAAAGTGCCGCACTGTCCCTAAAAAACCAATCCCAGAAGCAGAAAGTGCCGTACTGTCCCAAAAAAACCTAAAAAACCAATTCTGGAGGCCTATACAGGTAGACCCTCACGAAAAGATTGGTTTTTTAGGGACAGTACAGCACTTTCAGCACCTCAGGCCTTCAAAGTGCCGCACTGTCCCTAAAAAACCAATCCCAGAAGCAGAAAGTGCCGTACTGTCCTTAAAAAACCTAAAAAACCAATTCTGGAGGCCTATACAGGTAGACAATCACGAAAAGATTGGTTTTTTAGGGACAGTACAGCACTTTCAGCACCTCAGGCCTTCAAAGTGCCGTACTGTCCCTAAAAAACCAATCCCAGAAGCAGAAAGTGCTGTACTGTCCCTAAAAAACCTAAAAAACCAATTCTGGAGGCCTATACAGGTAGACCCTCACGAAAAGATTGGTTTTTTAGGGACAGTACAGCACTTTCAGCACCTCAGGCCTTCAAAGCGCCGCACTGTCCCTAAAAAACCAATCTTTGGAAGAGGGCCTGTCTCTATAGGCCACCAGAATTGGTTTTTTAGGTTTTTTAGGGACAGTACGGCACTTTCTGCTTCTGGGATTGGTTTTTTAGGGACAGTACAGCACTTTCAGCACCTCAGGCCTTCAAAGTGCCGTACTGTCCCTAAAAAACCAATCTTTGGAAGAGGGCCTGTCTGTATAGGCCACCAGAATTGGTTTTTTAGGTTTTTTAGGGACAGTACAGCACTTTCTGCTTCTGGGATTGGTTTTTTAGGGACAGTACAGCACTTTCAGCACCTCAGGCCTTCGAAGTGCCGTACTGTCCCAAAAAAACCAATCTTTTGAGGAGAGCCTGTCTTGATAGGCCTCCAGAATTGGTTTTTTAGGTTTTTTAGGGACAGTACAGCACTTTCAGCTTCTGGGATTGGTTTTTTCGGGACAGTACAGCACTTTCACTCCTAAACCCTAAACCCTACAAGAGGCAAGTCATCTGAGGCCGGTACCTGAGACAGGGAAGAAAATGAGACCTAGGTACTTGGGGGGGGGGTACCATATATATATATATATATATATATATATATAGATATATATATATATATATGTCTGTGTGTGTTTGCTTTCTTTTTCTTTAGGCAGCTGAACTTACGGGATGGCCACCGGCGCTTTATTTTCCAGGGTGCCCACCACACCTTTACTCGGGGGAGCAAACCCCAAACGACCCAGGGACTGTTCTGAACTGAGGCACGAAAATCCTCCAGGTCGGGCTTGCTGCAAAGGGATCCGAAGAATGGGAACCCCTAAACAGGGCTCCCCAAGCATAGCGTAGGAACATAAAGGGACAGATGAGGACCCTGGTAGGTAAATTCCTACTATATTCCTACCATATTCTTGGGGTTCCCAGTTGAGAGGTTCCCATCAAAGTCCCTTTCATTCTTTGCTACAGCGCAAGCACACACAGGCTTGGCGCTGCCACTTCGGCCGAGGAGCCCCAAACGTGACAATGTCCGCCTGATCCTTCCGCTTGAAGCCCAGGCAAGGAACACCTTGGTTTAGGGTTTAGGGTTTAGGGTTTAGGGTTTAGGGTTTAGGGTTTAGGGTTTAGGGTTTAGGGTTTAGGGTTTAGGGCTTAGGGCTTAGGGCTTAGGGCTTAGTGTTTGGGGTTGGGGTTTAGGGTTTAGGGTTTAGGGTTTAGGGTTTAGGGTTTAGGGTTTAGGGCCAGCAGCCTCAAGAGGAATCTACCTGCTACGACGTCCATGGTTGCAGAGGATTGACATGCCCCCCCAACCCACTCCAAAACGTCCGATCCCCAAACCCTTGCTGGGATAGGGCACCTAGCCAGAGCAGGTTGGCGATCAGGTTGTTGCCAGCCTGACACCAACTTTCACACGGGTAAAATGACAGCAGCCAGCAATCAGAAAAAGGAACACGGCAGGAAAAAGGGCAACTTGAGTAGGTATGTAAAAGCGCTTCCGTAGCTGCATCAGGCCCAACGAGCTCAGTCGAGAAGCACCCACCACGATGCCCAAGCCCGCGGTCCTCAAGCATCAGCACTCAGTGCTGCTTAGACTCTTTTCCCAAACCGACATGGTAATTTCCCAACATCACAGTCCCTTCTGAAAAAGAAGGCACAACGCACCACCTTGCTACACACCCGGAGCCAAGAAGTGGCATCCAAGCTTCTGAAAAGCCGAAGGAGGTTTGCCAGACATTCGTGCATATCTCACCACGGAACTCGTCAGTGGGATATACCTGCACAAACGTTTGCAGACCCACCGTCACGCGCATCGCGGCACAAGGGACTCTTGGGTTTGAGCTCAGGCCAGCACAGAACAAAGTAGAAGATGGCGATTGCAGACAGGAACCCGATGGAAGCGCAGCAAATGCGAGCAGCCAGCTGTCCATGAGAGGTGCCCATGTGCTCCCAGATGATCGAGGTAGGCTCTGATGTGACCTCCCGAATCTCGAGCTCCTGACCGAGATAGGAGCGGTCCCTCCGCCGCGACTTCTTCGCGTTGTCCAGCGACGGGCTTCCATCATGAAAGGAGAAGAAGGACCCAGTTCGCTGCAGGCCACGCGGCTGATCCCAGAGAGTGAAGAAGAGCTCCACGTCGGCCTCCTGCTTCATCACCACGAAGGCTTCGCCACTACACTTCAGGCCTGACAGCCACGCTTTGGTCTTCACCTCGCCGTCGAAGAGGCTCATCGACCCAGCCTCTTGGACAGACGGCAGCTTGCTCAGCATCCTTGGTTGTCCAGTAAGCTGGGGAAACTAAAGGTTAACCTTCGGGATTATTAAAGGGATTCTATTACCCCAAAAAGGTTAAAGGTTACCTACTCTACTACTAGGCATCCGATGGCGCAGCGTTCGCCGGCGGTTTCTGGGCACACCCAGCGCCGCGACGAAGATCTCCTCGTGCATCTGAAGATGCTCATCCAGCTTCTTCCCTATCAGACCTCGCAGCTCTCCGGTGTTGAAACCGAGACAGTTCTGCGAGCCACGGATGTCGTAGCAAATCGACACGCCCTCTATTCGGCCTCCGAATCTCTCCTCTATCCACGCTTGCAGGTCCACAGGATTTGTGGCTTCGGGTGGCAGGTTGGACAAGCCGAAGCAGTAGTCTTCCATGCGCGTGTGGACGCGGTCGTACGTTCGAGCGGCCGAAGCCTGCCATCGGGCAAAGATAATCGACGCCGGCAGAATCGCAAGCCAGAGGAAGAGAGCGATCAGAGCCCGTCGCTTCGCGTAGCCAGCAACTGCCGCCTCAGACTGCGCGCTTCCACCATATCCGCACTGCAGCGTGTCCCAGTGCTGCATGCCGAAGAGACCCTCCGAAAACCGGAGAAGCGCCCAGCCAATGAATGCGATGGCGGCCACGAACACCAAGTGGTTGTAGTAGAGCGCGAGGCCCACACCCACGATGTTCCGCGAGTGGACATTGGCATTCAGCGGGTAGAGCGGCGCGCGGGCATAGTAGATCTCCTCCGTCCCCCCTTTCTTGTCGGGTCGGGCAGCCCGGGTTTCTACATCATGGGGCAAGCAGCGCTCCCGATGTTCCAGGCCTCGTGTTAGCACTTCTGAGTTTTTGTTGCAGGTTATGCTTAGGACCACCGCAACCACGATCAAGCAGACCAGGACTGCACCGAGAATTGAATAGGTTTTCAGAAGGAGCTTGTCGAGCAGGTACTCGCAAAGGCCCTCGCTTGTGAGCGCAAACCCTTGACCACACTGCGTGCACTGCAACTGCACGGATTCCTTGCCCTCCCTCTTCACCTCAACATACTCACACTCCTCACAACCATCAGATGGACAGCTCTCACACATCTGCGTGTTCGGATTCGGGAATGGCAAGTCTGGGCGGTATGCCCCGCATTCCTGTGGCGGGACGCACGCAGTGCCGCAAGGAATCCGGTTCCCATATCCATCCCAGCTGGAATAGCTACTCAGCTCCAGGAAGGGACAGCTACCAGGACAGAGCTCCGCCATCTTGTGTGTTGAGGTACAGTTTGTGAGAATCATTCGCCTGCAAAACCGCTGCGCGGCCTTGAGCATGTCCGCATCGTCACGCACCATGAAGACAGAGCCATCCTCCTGCAGGAACCCGCAGTCTGGCCATCTCCCCGGCTGCATCTCCCAGATGTGGCTCACCCTCGGCCGGAGTGTTTTTGGGCCTGTGCTGCTGTGGTTGCCAGAGCTTGGCGTGGACATGGGTAGCTGAGCGCCTCTCAGCTCCTCGTTTGCAGCAGTGCATGGCTGACATGCCAGGATCAGGTGGGCCAGGAAGAGGAGCTCGGACCTGCTCCGGTGCCGCAACATCCCCAAAAAGCTCTGTGCGAAGTGCGCAAGGGCAACCAGTAGGCGGAGCAGTGCCTCAGAGGCATCTGCGGCCCACAACGCCTCTTCCCGCGACTGCTTTCCCAACCATTCTCGCCCATCTTCCCTCAAGTACGCAAGGGCGGAAGGCCATGATTAAACAGTTCTTCTAACCAACGAGAAGGTAAATGAAGTGAGGGTCTTAAGGGCATGAGCAGGACAGCTTAGGCAACTCTCAGCTTGAGTTCCCGGTAGCCCTCTGGCTGGGTAGTGCTGGCTCAACATTTCCTAATTACAGCTAACCTTTCTAGGACTCTCGTGGCAAGTCAAGCATCACGGGCATCACGGCAGTAGGCTGACACGTGCACCAGTCATAGTCGAACCCCCTATGCAGCCTACGTCGTCCCACATCTGAACAGGAGTGTCGGCTACGCCTCATGTGCAAACATCTGTTTTTGCCAGACCGCCCCAACTGAGGCCTTTGCGCGTCAGGGCGTTCTGCTGCCTCTTCCCTATGAGAAGATGCAGCAGTGCTCATTACCAAAGACACGACACTTGTTGTCCTCCTGCGCTAGGCATGCACCGAATTCGAAAGTGTGCTTGGCAGCGAGTCGGGAGAACAAAACGGGAGGGTGTTGAACGCAATCACCTCCTGAAGCCGGTGAAAGCCATTACTGGTCTTTATAGCATATTGTGTTACATGATAATAGCTCATAATATGTTATATTATGTTTTAGTATACTTGTATATGATGAGTATTAGGTATAATGTTAACTCTCACTATATTCCACCCAGAATGATCTTCATTTTCAGCTCACGCCCGCTTTACCGGCCAAGGCGTGGTTCCCCGTACCCGGACTGCTGCTGACTCGGCTTAAATGAAGGGAGCGATATGCGTGGTGTCGGAAAGCAAAAAAGGGGGGAGAGTCCGGCCGGATTGGCCCGCGCTCGTCACAACTGGCACCTCCAGCACACATCTCACCGGTTACCGTACCACCTTGTTAGTGAACTATTCTGGTAAATACCATGATGCTATGATTGTTGTTCTTACTATGTTACGTTCATGTAATTGTTATTGCTATTGTTATTGTTATGGTGATTGTGATTGTTATTGTTAATGGTATTGTTATTGTTATTGTTATCGATATCGCTATCGTTATCGTTATCGTTATTGTTATTGTTATTGTTATCTTTATTGTTATTGTTATCTTTATTGCTATTGTTTTTGTTTTTGTTATTGTTATTGTTACTGACTGGTATGGTTATTGTTATTGCTATTGCTATTGTTGCTTGTATATTCATATTGACTATCGCAGGTGCGCCGCTTCCAGACCTAGGGCCCCCGGCATCATGATCGCCTTGTCCTCGCTGCAGAGGATCTCCGCCGAAGAGATGACGTGCCGCAATGCAGAGACTTGTGCTTTGCCTTGGTGTAGGGTTTAGGGTTTAGGGTTTAGGGTTGAGGGTTGAGGGTTGAGGGTTGAGGGATTAGGGTGTTTTGGGGTTTTGGGTTTCATGCTATCATTGTTCTAGCTCTTGTGGCCAGATTGTGTGATTTGACGCTTCTGACTGGTAGCAGCACGAGCCGGCTGCTTCTACCGCGGAGACGCGATGCTTTCGCAGTTCTACATTTACACCGATCGTAGGCAGCGGAAGTTGCCTCTTTTGCCGGGAGCTGCAAACCCAACTCTCCCAAGAAGCATGGCACAAGAAGCCCGTAACCTTCAAGGTGATGTTGGGCAGTGGAGCCTACAAAGAGTTTTTAAGCCCTAAAGGGGGTTTTGAAAAAAAAAATAAAACATTTTTAAAAATAAAAAAAAAAGCCTCAAAGGCCCAAAAAGCCCGCGAACCGGGAGGTGATGCTGGACACCGCAATCGCAAGCTCGGTATCTCAAGCCCGAAGCCCTTGGCACAAGAAGAGCAGCAAAAACCCTGAAACCTTGGCTCAAACCCGAAACCTTAAACCCTAAACCCTTAAACCCTAAACCCGAAACCCTAAACCCTAAACCCTAAACTCGAGTCTGGCAGGCCGAGGCGCCATTGTCAAGCCGCTGCGCACTGCTGTCCTCGGACTCCCAGGTCTGCGGTCCCTTCTCAACCCTCACAGGGTCCACGTACACTCAGGGTTTAGGGTTTAGGGTCTAGGGTTCAGGGTTCAGGGTTTAGGGTTTAGGTTTAGGGCTTAGGGTTCAGGGTTCAGGGTTCGGGGTTCAGGGTTTAGGGTTTAGGGTTTAGGGTTTGGGGTTTAGGGTTTTCACAAGGGTTTAGGGTTTAGGGTTTAGCATGTTCTGGGATGAATAGGGATTCTAAGACCCCCTACTATAATCCCGATTAAGGACTGTTGGTATAGGGGGAACATCCCAATCCCAGTACCACATTATCATAGATTTGGGCAAAAGTCCCTCGATAGGAGGTACATTAAGGCCCAAGCATTCTCGGCTTAGGTCCATGGACCATTTAGGGAAGGGGGTGTTCTGGGCCTCTGCCTCAGGGGGCTCACGGACCTTGAGGGTTTTTGATCTTGAGGGCTTAGTGCTTCATTCGGGTTTAGGGTCTAGGGTCTAGGGTCTAGGGTTTAGGGTTTAGGGTTTAGGCAGGGTTCAGGGTTCAGGGTTCAGGGTTCAGGGTTCAGGGTTCAGGGTTCAGGGTTCAGGGTTTCCTGGAGTTTAGTTGGAAGCACAACCAGATCGGGACCCGTTGCAAGTGAGCGTCGAGAGTGATAGCCGCAGCCCGCAGAAGTACTTCCACAGACAGTCCTGAAGCTGGCGGCACCTCTTCCTTATAGGAACCTCAATAACTATGAAGTACGAAGGCACGGGCCCCTCTAACATCCCTACTTCCACATCCCAAGTAGTCTCAGAAGTGGCATGGGGCTGCAGGGCCCCGGATTTCGGGATTTTTTGGGCTTAAGTACGATGTAGTTCGAAACCCGGCCTGCTCTGACAAGCTCCTGTGCCGCTTCCGACACATTTTCGCCAGCTACAGTTTCTGCATTCCTGCCGCGAACACGGGCGCTTCTCTGGCGTGAACCCCCTGCTTCCATGGGGAGAACTGGATTCAGGGCTGGGCCTGGCGACGTCGACGACACTTCTCAGCACCGGAGCTGGCTCCTCCTCCCCCTTGGCCTTTGCAGGAGCCCCCGGTGAAGACACACGACAGGGCTCGGCTAAGTGCTCAGGTGCCCGGCCAAGTACTTGCCCATAGTCGAGATCACCTGCGCGAGTTCGTACAGCTTGCAAAAGGCACCTTACATCTTTTGTGGAGGGCGCGCTCTGTGCCTCTGTTAGCTCGATGTGGGGCGCATTCTCCTTGCATCTTCATGTTCACACCCATGTCGCAGGGGGGCTATGCCAGGCACTGCAGGCTGCTTGCGAGGTCCTGCGCATACTCCTCCAAAGCAGCAGTCATTTCTGCCTCGGCCTGAGCCTGGTCCAGCCCTGGCAGCCACAACTTGCGGAAAAAGCCCATATGACAGGGTTGAAGGGTTTTTCACCCATATTCGAACTCTTTAACCCATATTCGAACTCTAGGAAGAACCTTTCATAGACTCCCCCCTACATCAAGAAGTCCCCAAGACGATTGGAGGCCTGGCACTGCATCCATGACATCCCTGACGCTGATCACCTCGCGGAGCTCTCTGCGCTTGTTTGGGCCGCCGCACTTGTTTGGGGTTTTATGGGTTATGGGTTTAGGGTTTAGGGTTTAGGGTTTAGGGTTTAGGGTTTAGGGTTTAGGGGGGGCATTCTGGGCCTTGTCGCTTTCCCAGGCTTCTTCGCCACGAGAAGCGATGTAGGCTTTCACTACCTCGCGACCCCAAACATCAAAAAAGAGCCACCATGCAAGCGTGATCACCGATGACCATGGAGTCAAGACATTGCCTCGGGGAGAGGTGTGTGACCTCCGGACCACTTTGAAATTCCACGTCGCACAATGTCCTTGGAGCAGCTTATTGCCCATTGCATTAGGCCAATCATGCGGAGGTCCGCGCACAAATTGCTGCATGTAACTTTGCTCTTCTTTTTTTGGTAGGAGGAGGGCTTCGTACAAGGAACCCGGCTAGAAAGAGCTACCTAGAAGAAAGTCGGCAGCAACTTCGGGACATCCGGACTCGGGCTTGAACCTACTTATTTCAAGGGAGTTCGAGCGGGCTTTGGGGGGATGCGGACGTCCTATGGCGACGGCTGCGAAATTTGAGACCAAGCCGCGTAGCACTCATGCCAGAGGGACTCACTCGTTCGCGATCCAGCTGCAACCTCCACAGCTAAAACGATGCACGTGCACTGACTTCACAGGAAGCCCGCTCCAAGGTTCCAACCTGCCCATAGACGTCCATGAGGATGGCAATGAGCATGTTGAGCAGCAACAAAACGGCAGCCATCATGTAGGTGCCAAAAAAGAAGAAAGCTACCTTGGGTCTGTGCCAGGGGCAACCTCTGTCTTCTCAGGCCCTTCTGTGGTGCGAGAAAGAGGCCGGCCGGCCACGCAACTCCATGTCTTCGACACTGAAGTCACCCATCCTCGGATCGCGGCTGTTGGGCTGTCGCAGCCGGAAGCCGGAAGCAGGAAAGAACCCCCCCAAAAAATGAGCCCGGTTTTCGAAATTCTTGTAGTGGCCCTTACTTTTTGGGGTTTATTTTCGGGGTCTCTTACTTTCGTAAACCCCCCGGTGCATTTCAACAAGACGGGGCGCAAGGCACGAAGCAGGGCCAGCGATGCACGGTCAAACGAAGCAAAGGATTCAACCTCTCTTCCAAAGAATGCCATTCCCATCGCAACGTAGGCGAAGAAGATGGAAAGGAAAACCTTGAGTGACTTGGACTGCATTAGAGGCCAACTCCCACGCAGCCTTCAAGGATTCAGGGGGCCTCTTAACCCTAAACCCTAAACCCTAAACCCTAAACCCTAAACCGTCTCATACTAAGCGATGGGCAATCCCGAAGTGTGTCAAGTCGTTTGCAGCCAACGCCAGCGTCTTCGTCACGATGGCCAAGCGAGGCTGCGCCGCAAAGGCTTTAAACCTCTTAGGGTTTAGGGTTTAGGGTTTAGGGTTTAGGGTTTAGGGTTTAGGGTTTAGGGTTTAGGGTTTAGGGTTTAGGGTTTAGGGTTTAGGGTTTAGGGCAGCTCTCCCGATTGTGGTCCCCGTAAAGGGCTCCTATTGTCACGTGGAGCCTTTTTGCAGAGCAACCCAAACAGTACCCTGATGAACAACCTCCGCTTTGGATGGCTTTTTGCTTTCGGAGGCTGTGGATCTAGGATTCAAGTTTGGGGGCCAAACAGGGTTTAGGGTTTACGGGATAGGTAGGCTTTGGAGTCTTCTTCTATTGCGCCTGCAGCTAAGGTGTCTGCACATCGTGCCGTATCGGAGTCGGCGTCGAAACGCACAAGAGCCGAAAAAAGGCAAAGAACGAGAAAAGCGCAAAAAGCCGAAGAACAACAACAAAACGAAGGGCAACCATCCAGTGCTTTTCGCGTTGCCCATGGTTCGCGCTTTTGGGCTTTTTCACGTTTCTCGACTCGTTCGCAGCTTCGCCTTGTTGGTGTTTTTTGCGACTTGTTTGCATATGCTCAGGTTTTCTTGCGAGTGGCTTGCGCTTTGCTTATCGTTTCTTCGCGTCTTCGGGTTTCCCGCGTCCTTCAGTCCTCCGGCTGTGCAGTTCTTTGCGCTTCGCGCGTTTCGCGCGTTTCGCACGGCACCTCCGCTTGACATCCTAATACCGAGGCACACGGAGCGTTTCCACAGCTCAACCCGAGACCCTGAACCACAGACAATGCAGGCCAAGTGCAGACGCATGATGATGCAGACTGGGTAGAAGCCAGAGATCCATCGGTTCGCCCTGGAGAAGAGGGCACACCACCCACACCCACACCCACCCCACCCACGCAAGCACACACAGCTTTGTTGAGCATCTCCCGCCTGATCACGAAACCCAACGCTTCCATGTCATCAAAGAGTTTCTCATCGTAGGCTCTTGCCGCAGCGCCTCAGTGGCAAGAGAACGACAAACCACAAACCCGACATGCAATGCACACAAGAAGCATCAGTTCCACAGACAGCTGGTTCCCAGAGACACGCACCACCCACACAAAACCTACATGGATACAACGCTTTGCAAGTCCCTGTAATTACCTATTAACCCAAAACCTTGAACCACCTATTTGTGAGGTCTGGGGTTGCAGGTAAGCCCTAACAAAGCAGTCTGCATGACAAGCGGCAGGACGAAGTTGTCACATTCGCAGACAGCCGGCAAGCGGAGTGGACAGGCACATAGTTCTGCCAGGGATCAGTGGCCAGTGCTATTTTGGGGTTTCAGATTCAGCCTTTGGCTCAGAGATATATACTGGGCATCGGATGCTGGGAGTATTAGGATAGACCCCTTGATTTACTAAAACCCTAAACCCTAAACCCTAAACCCTAAGGCCCTGTTAAAGAGTCTAGAGCGAACAAGGTGACGGCGTCTCGACTGCCTGGAGAGTGCTGGATATGTCTGCCTGCCATCCAACAATCGCTGCTCGATGCCTCTACTCTACTCATAAGCTGAGTACACTCATGAATGGTTGGCAGCCGCTGCTTCAGCAAAGAAAGGAAGGAAGCAAGCAGCCACCAAAAACATCCTGCCTGTCCGATATTCTGCGTGATCCACGTAATAAGAATAGCAAAGGCAAGGATGATGGAGACCCAGTCTACAAAGTTCCAGAAACTCCAATATGCCTTCCTGACACAGCGAGCGCGTGTGCCACGAGTAAATGCACATGCAAACAGCAGCCATGTCGCAACCCGGAACCCTAAACCCGAAGCACTGAATTAGCCTCTCGTGCCAAGCGGATGCCAAGCGGCCAGGCTTTCGCAAAACGGCACTTGTGCTCCCGCAAGCAGCAAATCGCTTCAAAGCCTAACGCCGTGCATGTGTATGTAGATGGTTTTTTTATGATAGTGTCTTTATGCTAGTATAAGTTTATGCAATATACATATATATATATATATAGATAGATTTGTGTATATAGATGGGCGCCCGCTTATTGCGGCTCCCTTCATAAGCAACCGAACGCTTACCGTCGTACGAGGTTCTAACCGCGTTAGGCATGTCAGCGTTCACATCGGCCATGACATATTCGATCAGAATATGGAATATTACATATTGTATCAGAATACAGTATATTATCTATTACATATGTATCAGAATGTAGTATGGTATATCATATGGCGGGCCAAACCCTTGAACATATAGGCGAGGTGGCGAGCTTGTTTCCGTCGGTCATACTACAAGCCCCTTGGATGGCAGGAACATACTCTTGTTCTTCGTTCAGGGTTTAGGGTTTGGGGTTCAGGGTTGAAGGTTTAGGGTCTAGGGTTGAGGGTTTAGGGTTTAGGATTTAGGGTTTAGAGTTTGGGGTTTAGTTCCTATTCGTTTCCTCCTTGTGCTTCGCTCGGGGCTTTTTTCCTGCCAACGGTCGCTGCGAATATCGCGAGTTTTTGTTCATGGTTCTTATCAATATCAGAGGCTCGTTTACTTCTGCAATTAGGGGTGTAGTTTTTATGCACTGCACCAACATAGAAATGAAAACGAAAAAGTTGGCCCGTGGCTTTAAACTAAACGGTATTCTGCCGTATCGCATGAACAGCACTTGTAGAAGTCCACTCTTACTAGCTATCTCAGTTTAACGAGAATGATACTATTTAGACGTGGCCAGGGAGTATTTACCCACGATTGTAAACGCTATTCATGTCGGCGCATCGGCTGTCCCAGTAGCTGTCCTTCATTCTCTGAACGCTACTGACTGACACGCACATCGTCGCAGCAGAAGGAGACCCTGGGACCGGGCGCGCCCTGATCATGTATGTGTCTACCGTGACATATCGGCTTACACAGGGCCTAGCGCGCTTAGCAGTCAAATGGTGCGAAGCCGCCAGTGTTTCTCAATACTGGTTTAATGGTTCCGAATCTGTGCGTCTAGGATGTAAACGGTTCAATGTGTTAGTGGATCTTCGCGACTGATTTCATGGTTTAATGCTCGTGCTTGGGTGCATTGCCCTGCACTTCTGATGCCGTCGAGTGATAGCATATAGCACCCACCATACCTTACATGTACTATAGATTGCATATATACTGCTTGGGTCCTTGACCAAATGTTTTTTCAGGCCTCCGATGCCTGGGACCAAAGAGGAACATGCTTGCTTCCCCCCCCCTCCGCCCCGTGTTGTGGTGCCCGCTCCCCCCACCCCCACCCTGGTGTAGTTGCGGGGGTGAGGGTTTCGGGTTTTAGGTTTAGGGTTCTAACCTGTCACAGGGTTAGGGCTTCAGGTTTAAGGTTTAGGGTTTATGGTCCCCTGCCCCCCGCTGTGGTGTGGTTGGGGCTGGGGTTTCGGGTTTATGGTTTAAGGTTATAGGGTTTAGGATTGAAGGGCAAGGTTCAGGGTTTGGGGCTTTGTTTAGGGTCGGGAGGCAGGGGAGGTCTGGGGGGGGGAGGGGGAGGGACCGGCGAACCGCGAACCGCCATCATATTTGACCTGGGCGTTGTTCTACCCTCATCTGAACCAGTCGTTTCCACCCGTTAAACCATTGTCATATCAGAAAAAGGATTGGTTTCATGGTTTCATGGTTTAGTCGTTTCTGGTACGGGAGAAAAGCCTTGGTTTAGAGTTTTATGGTATAATTGTTTGATGGTTAAACGGTTTAATGGTTTTCCATACTGGGAAAAAGGTTGGTTAACGGTGTAATGGTCTAACGGTGTAGTTGTTTAATACGGCTTTCACGGGAGGAAAAGGTTTGGTTAATGGTTTAACGGTTCAACGGTTGAATGCTGTAATGGTTTCATGGGTTGAGGCATTCTCATAGGGGCAGACCATTGGTTTAACGATGGAATGGTTGAATGCTGTAATGGTTTAATGGTTTAATTAATGGGAACATGCAACAACTCAGGGGAACCGCTGTAGGCGGTGACGCAAAAGGATGTACTGTAGATTGTAATCGGTGTATGCATATACATATATATATATATACATAGATGCCACATAGACATGTATATATATATATATGTTCTATGTCGAGATGTATATATTGCGCACATCTGGTCTTGGCAGCTTCGATGTAAGGCTCACAGCACATTCAGCTGACGGGCCTTCGTTGAAGAAGAGGATGAGTATGTGGCCGAAGAAAAGCACCTCTTTTTACCCTCTGAACCCTAAACCCCAAACCCTAAACCCCAAACCCTAAACCCCAAACCCTAAACCCAAACCCTAAACCCTAAACCCTAAACCCCAAACAACAAAAAGACCCACTGAGACTGTTGGGCTTCCATGCCTCGAAGGCCCAGCTCTCCCAAGAAGCATGAGCTTCCAGGATTACGGACCTGGCAACGGAAAACACAACAACACATCTACGACAAAAAATAGATTCCCATTTGTATTTATATCGATATTTATACTTATACTTATATTTCAAATATGGATTTATACTTATATTTATACAGATAAATATATATATATTATATTTTACATGTCTTTTTTATCTTTATGCTTATATTTTCATTTATATTTCTATTTATATTTATTTTTATATATACATGTACATTTACTCTTACATTTAGACTTACATTTACATTTATATTTAAATTTATATCTATATTATATTTTTACGTATAAAAGATTTATATGTATATCTATATGTGTATTTACATTTACATTGCCATTTACACGTACATTTATATTTATATTCATATTCGTATCTATATTCATATTTGTATGTATTTTCATATTCATGTTCATGTTTGTATCTGTATTTCTTTTTCGATTTATATTTGAAATTATATTCATATTTATATGTACATCTATATTTCTATTTATATTTACATTTACATTTATATGTATATTCAATTTATATTTGTCTTTATATTTATATTTATACTTGATTGTTTATTTATATTTGTATAAATATAATAAATAAAAAAACATCTCTATATATATATATGTATAAGTGTATAGCAGATTATATACTGTATAGCCCTGTACAACATACTGCAACTCATAACATAATGAGAAATTGCACACACATATGTTATACATACAGGTTACATATGTATATATATATATATGTGTATAGCATGTGTGTATATATAGAGAGAATATATTGCATATATGTATATATATATATGTACATATTTTCCTGTTTATGTTTATGCATTTGTTTACTTGTTTGTAGGTTGTATATAATGCACAACATACACTGTGGCAGAATCTGGCAGGCCTGTGCGTAATCTGCTTGAAGATGCGGCCTGGCAGAAGTTGCTACACTGCAGCATTGTCTCGCTTGACGCTCGGCTCTGTTGCTTAAAATTTACACGACAGCCATGACAGGCCTGAAATGGCGAACATGAAATGGATACTGGTCGAGGTCAAGAGGTCCTGGGCTATTCAGGTATTGCCTGACCAGAGTCCATGCCATGCCTGCGCAAGGATTCTTGGCACAAGGATGTGCTCCAACGATGGACCGATTGTTGCAGACCGGATGCATAATAGGCATTGTACGTCATGAAGTTGACCTGTCCCACGGAGGTGCGCCAAGAGTTGTGGACAATGCCATCAGACCCATGTTCATTACAACGGGGCATGCAAGCACACTGATGGCGCGACATGCTGCAGGCGTACCTTCACACGATAAGTGCGATCGTTCAGCCAGCGATTTACCTCTAAATCTCGCAGTTGGTCGAAAACCTCGGGCGCTTCCAGCTTGTGTCAAGGCAAGATGCCAGCCTCTCCAAAGCCTGAATACACACCAAGAGGCCGTGATGTTAGGAAACTCCATGAGGTAGTCCAGCCATTCGACGGTGACAGCATCGCTGCTTTCGATCAAATCCTACAGCCCGGCATGTCCAGCTTAGGGAGGCTTGCAAGACTTGGGGTTTAAGGGCTTGGGTTGGCCTGAGGCCAGGAAAAGAAAGAGGTCTTCTTGCATTTCCAGAAAAGACAGGGGCCACAGCCTCCTGCGAGACGTCCAGCTCGGTCGGCTTGAGCCTCAAGTCCAGGCCGTCGAAGCGGAAGCAAGGGTCCAGCTCCATGGCATTCGCCACCTTGGGGGGAGATGTTGGGGGGTTTTTAGGCGCCTTGGGGTTTTAGGGTTTAGGGATTAGGGATTAGGGTTTAGGGTTTAGGGTTTAGGGTTTAGGGTTTAGGGTTTAGGTTCTTTGGGGTTCTTGGGGGGGAGTGGGTTTTGCGGTTTCAGGTTTAGGTCTAAGCTCTTAGGATAACTTAGCAGGCTGGGGGGAGTGTCGCACACTCTTTGCAGCTTGGCGGCTGTGGGATTCGTGCATTCTGCATCGACCAGCCTAAGGGTTGGCTTTGGGTTCAGGGCTTTTGGGGTTGAGGGTTTAGGGTGCAGGGTTTAGGGTTTAGGGTTGGGGTTTAGGGTTTAAGGTTTAGGGTTTAGGGTTTAGGGTTTCGGGTTTAGGGTTTAGGGTTTAGGGTTTAGGGTTTAGGGTTCAGGGTTTCGGGTTCAGGGTTTCGAGGGCTTGTGCAGCTGTAGGGTTTGGCGGTCAGGGTTTGGCGTGGTGAGCAAGGGCATGAACAGATACGTGCGACACGGGAACAAAACCAGCACTGCAGCAGGTACGGGTGCCATCTCAAATTGATTGTTACCAATACCGGCCAAGGCCAAAAAGTAAGATGCCACATGTGCTGAGACAGCACAGCTGTCAGTGTCAAGCTAGCCTACTAGGCCTTTCAAGGCTCTCAACGTGGATTCTGGGAATTTGTCTGACAGCATGGTCTTACATGAGGACTGCTCTTCTTCAAGGCTTCTGGCCCAGAACCAAACAAGTCTTGCCACCAATTTTGGGGCGCGAAGGGAGACGGAGACGGACCGGGTTTCAATCACTGATAGGAACCTGGAAAGAGGGGACTGTGGTAGACCCGCAGTGCACTGCCTCAGTGCTACACTTACAATCATGATAACTCGCTATGACAGGACTGTGAAGGTGATCTCTTGTAGCGCAATCGGTAGTGACGTTGCCTGGAGTCGAAGCTGAGCGGCTTTTGCTGAACAAGCTTCACGCCTCCAACCTTCCGATTGTGCGACAAATACCTGATGGCAGAATCGTGTTTTCCGGTCAGCTCGTAGTCTATCTACATGCAAAGCCATTTCGCGAGCAGGATGCATACTTGCTTCGGGGAAAGTCATCGACGGCAACACAGAACTCGATCCCTCAGACACTGCCAGAGACGTCGGAAAGTAGATAGCCTTGGTTTGGGCAGCAGAGGCACTAGCAACTGACCTGTTGCTGCGCCGTCACGCAATACCTCCACCGCCAGCACAAGTCGCACTATATCCGGCAAGTTTCCGAGAACCCAAGATTCATCCAGGAGTACCAATCTGCAAATGTGTTAACATCCTGGGCATCGACATGCAGAACAAGCATTGGCATGAGCTACATTGCAGACATGCGATAGCGCGTCCTGGAAGTTCTTGTGTCCCATGTACAATGGGCTGGAGAAGGCAAAGTTGGCGTTCCTCGGCAGCTGCAAAAACAACAATACTACTAATAATACTAAGAATAACAATAAGAAAGAGAGTAATCATCTAATAAGAAAAACACAAACAAAAATAATGCAAATAAGAATAATAGGAATAACAACTAGACACCGACTATCCCGAAAGCAATAAGTGCGATGTTTGTAAGGGACCCGTATGGGACCCGTATCATGCGGCGTTGTAAGTGCGGTGATCGTGGTGCGGTGCAAAAGGCTATAGAAGTAGGAATGCGTAGGTACTGTGGTCTTGGTGCGGTGTAGACGCCAGAGCGCGATACGCAAAAACACGCAGCGACAGCGCTACGACACGCACGATCCCCCGCAGAGTGTTCTCAAGCCACGTTGAAAAGCGCAAAAATTGGGTAGGCCACAAGCCCTTGACCATAAACCAAAGAAAAAACAATGATTTGCGATTTTCGAACGTCCGGAAATGGAGCACCGCGTGATGTACGAGGTTGTTAGAGACGCGGAATTGGGTTTTCGGCCTGCGTGATGTGCGAGGTTTTGGGGCACCGGGAAGTGGCGCACCACGTGATTTGCGACCAGGAAATGGAGCACCACGTGTTTTGCGAGACTTTCAAACACCCGGACGTGGAGCCGGAAAAGTGGACTCCAGATGACTCCAGTACTGCGCGTGTACTACAAAACACGCAAAATCCCGCCAGGCCGCGGAAACGTGGATTCCAGTACTGCACGTGTACTACAAAAGAAGCAAAATCCCGCCAGGCCGCGGAAACGGGCCTTCCAGTACTGTTTCGACACGCATGATTGCCGCAGAGGGTTCGAGGACGAGTTTCAAAATGCGTACAAACGCACAGCGGGAGCGCTTCGACACGCACGATCCCCGCAGAGGGGTGCATCCCGCTAGCCCCGCCAAACCTGCCCCAGCCTAAGAAATAAGATCGCATTTAACAATCTCAGCGAAAAGAAGCCGTGTAGGTGAGGTAGCGTGGTGCTGTGGCGGTGTGGCGGTGTGGTGGTGTGGTGGTGTGGTGGTGTGGTGGTGTGGTGGTGTGGTGGTGTGGTGGTGTGGTGGTGTGGTGGTGTGGTGGTGTGGTGGTGTGGTGGTGCGGTAGTTGTGAAGTGGTGTACTTGGGCGAGCGTTTCTTCCGGGAAAAATATCAATAACAATAATACCAAGAAGTCCCGAGCATCTCACCGATGTCATAGTCTATGGCCTTCTCGACGCTGTGAATCGTGTCAGGTTGCTCATGGGCCAAATTCCTCTGTGCGATCACAAGGAGCCGGTGCTTGCCAAGAATCAGGACTCTTGCCCGCGTGCTTCGACTCTGCTCAGCACATCTAGACCACGCAACAGACAAGAGCCGCGTTTGACGGATCTCAAGGCAAGCCGCATCAGGAAGAACCAAACAATTAGGAGGATGGCGGCCTCGACACGAGAGCTCCACTCAAAACCAAAAAGCGCCATTTTGGGGGGGGGGGGGGGGGGGGGGGGCCCTCCGGGCCGGGTGGGAAGCTGCGAGTTAGCCACATCAAGCCCATAAGAGGTGCCAGTCAGGGAGCTGGAAGGTTCTTGACCGCAGCTTCACCCTCGATCTCCCCCTGCAGATATGAGAGCATCACGCGTTCGGGAATCCCATGCTCCTCGGCTGCGCGCGCGATCTTCTTGTGGCTAGTTGACGACTCTGGCTTGAGTATTGGGTCTTAGAGGGCCAGGGTTCATGAGCCACCTGCTCAAACTGTGCCTGAGCAGTCACCCCTGACACCAAGTTGCATTGAGGACGTCACCGGGTTCGAGCGCCTGGACAGCCAAACCAATGCCACCACAAAAACACTAAGATGATTGTTGCTATTAGACCCTATCAACCTGAAACTCTACAAACCCCAATCCTCACAGGCTTAGAACGTACGGAGATTGGAGGACAAGGTGATAGGGCTTTGACGACTCGGCGGGTGATTTGAGGCGGGCTTTCTTGGGCTGTAGAGACTGCAGAGGGGTCTCCCAGCCGACATAAACAACAACACGGGTGACCAAAAACCAGCCCTCAGCCACCGGAAGTCTAGTGGGACGGAGAGAAGCTCCGGCATCCCGAGGCCTTCCTAAGCCCGAAGCAATAAAGCCCCTAAACATGAAGCCCTACACCCTACACCCGAAACCCCACACCCCGTAACCCTAGCCCTTAAAGGGTTTTGGGGTTTGTCCTGGGATGCGGCCTGGTCCTTTTGGGTTTTCGGGTTTAGGGTTGGGGTTCAGGGTTGCAGGGGCTTCTATTGGGAGTCTCAGGGGATGTTTTGAAGTCTGGACCTCGACTTCCAATCCGGGCTCGGTGTCGACCTTGCACGCGGGCTCGGGGTACTTCGGGGTACTTTGGGGTCCTTCGGGGCACTTATAGGGGCACTTATAGGGGTACTTCTAGGGGTACTTATAGGGATACTTAGGGGTACTTGGGGGTACTTCGGGGTAGGGGTACTTATGGGGGAACTTATGGGGGTACTTATAGGGCTAATTATAGGGGGTACTCAAGGCGCGGCAAGCTCCGGTTCACTAAGGCAAGGGCCCATCCAAACGTGCGATGCCTTGTGCGGAGCAGCAGCGAGCAAGAGACGGCTGTTTTGCGAGCGCAAGAACCCCAATTTCCCAAAACCCCCCCGTTTTTGGCCGCGTCCCATGCGATTTTTGCAGTCCAAGTCACCTCTCCGACTTTCGGCGAGCGACTTGGCTTGTGGTTCCATCGGTATCGGCAGGAGTCCGAGGCGACTCCTGCGCCAAGGCTGTTTAAAGGCGGGTTTTAGGGTATAGACGAAAAACGACGCATATAGAGATTTAGGGCGGTTATGTAATTTAGGGTCCCCAATCTCCAAGCACAAGCTGTCTACAGTAGCTGCTCTCAAAACTCCCAGCAAGAGGGCACGACTTGCTGCCAACCCTTCAACATCTTGCCTGGCCTTGGGCAAGGAACCAGTCGATGATTTGTTTTTCTTATCCTTCTGGCTGGGTGCAGGGGCACGCACCCCTGTAATCACTCGCAGCACCATATCGCTGCTTCAAGCTTTCTTCTGAGCCAGAAAGCTGCAGCATGCTTTGTAACTGACATGAGATTTTTTGAGTGAGAGTGTTTAGGGTTTAGGGTGTAGGGCTTTGTGTTCAGAGTTTAGGGTTTAGGGGTTTAGGGTTTAGGGTTCAAGATGTTGGGGGATATGCGTGGGTCCTGTGTGTGTGTGTGTGCGTAAGGGGGTTATAGACGTAGTGATCACAAGAACCTGCTGCACAAGCTAGACCTGCACCCGGAACCTTGAACCGGGCTGGCATGGACAAGACTCTCAGGGTTTGCTGGTAGGGTTTCATCAGGTATCTTCAGGGTTGAGGGCTCGAGAATACCAGTTGGGGCTCCAAATCGGGGGGGAAAGAGTCGGGCAAGGCGATTCGACGCGGTGCTGTCCCTGGCACGGACTCTCAGGCGCGAATGGAAACATGCCCACACCACAAATGGCCAGATTTGAAGAGTCATGCGTGTACCTTATGATACCTTATGCAAGATTCGAGTACGTCCAAAAGGCCCAAGGTGTTGCCAACATTCTCATCCGGCGTCCCCTCGCGCAGCATTTTACCAAAGCCCAAGGATCTGCACGTGCGTCCCCCCCCCCTGGGTTCCCCCCCCATGCAGCTTAAGGCTTAACATGGCTACTAATAGGGTGAAACTGAAACTACACGAGTCATCTGACTCTATGACTTCGCTTTCGCCTTGTGCCACGCGGTCGGAAGCAGACTTCGAATGGACTAAGAGAGCAAAAGCCTGCGCAATTTGAGGTCGGAGCCTTCCCCTTGGCCTTGGCCTGTCCAGTTTGTAAGCAGCTGCAGATGAACACGGCTCTAACCCTAAACCCTAAACCCGCACTGCCACCCTAACAGCATGCCTTGCCAGCTGCCTTACCAGCAGCCTTTGTCGCGACTTCGGCCTGGAGACGACAAAGCGACCGACAGAGCCGACAAAAGAGTTCAAAGAGCACGCTCGGCCTTGCTCTTCGGTGTTTCAGCCTGCACGTGTCCAAATCCAGGGTCGTGTTTAACATATCGTCTTGAGCCTGAAAGTGCAGGCTCTAGAGTTTGTTGAGACTGTTGAGATGACTTGTCATGCCGCCGTCTCTACAATGCTACTCGAAAAAGGAACTTGCCAGGCTCGGGAGGTAGATGGTGGATTCAGGGGTTATTTAACTCGTCTTGCGCCTCCGTCGCACAAACTCAGCCGTTTCCCAGTACCGAGGAGTTTCCTTACGTGGATGTGCTTTTCGCGACCAGTGGCGCCTTCGCCTTGGCCTTCGACTTCGCTTTCGCCTTGGGCTTCTTGACCCTGGCAGGTGATGCTTTGCGTAGGTACTGCCAGACAAAGAGCCAAAAAAAAGCCGGATGCACTTGATCAGGCCAGAAGTCACCCCCTCATCTTCGCTGGCGTTGGCCTCCTCGTCGGGCTCCGCCTTAACCTCTTGACAACAGCCCACCAGCATCCACCGGCAGCCACCAGCCAAGGCTTCACTGACCTTCACTGCCTTTGCCGAGGGCTTGCCGGCCTTGTCCCTCTCTACGTCGTCGTCCATCTCGTCTGGATTGTCCTTCGAGCAGCGACGCTGCATTACAGTCTTTCAACTGTTGCCAGACCTCACGCTGCCTCAGCGACACCCGCCCCGCAGTCCTCTTTGGCCGATGCCTTTCTCTTCTTGCTGTTCGACGGGATGACGACCTGCGGCAAAGATGTGAAACAGGAAGCGGGCGTGTCCCCCCTGTGGCGACCTTGACGGCATGAGAGTTGGAGCTTCGAGTCAACGCAGTCTTCACCTGCCAAGATCAAGAAAGCAATAGGGCAATGGCCGAGGCGGGAAAGGTTCCAAAAGGACCCAAGGAGCCTTGGGGTCAACAAACTTGAAGATGTCTTCGAAGTCGGCCCCCATCATGTGCTGCCTGCAAGACTTCCGAGCAAAGCAGGGGGCTAGAGGTGGCCTTGCGCAGCGCAAGCAGAGCAGCCACGTCTCGAAATTATAAAAAATTGCGCATGCGCTTTTTTCCACGCTTGCGCGCAGCAAGTTGCCGGCATTGAAACGCCAAGCACATCAGGAGGCTGGTAGAGAAACTTCGCGCAAGGCGCGAGCCTGAAAACTGCATGCAACCTGCACCTTCCTGAGAAGGGCTCACAAACGTCACCCAAACTTGCACCTAGCCCAGACGCATGCATTGTGCCGCTGCTTCCCTTCTTCCTCTCCAGAGTACTGCACAGAGTGTTCAGCAAACCGGGGACAGCGCCTCTTGCCAGAAGCACTGGACCCTGATGCCTTGCGCTTCTGGGCGGACCCGGTGGTTGGACCTGCTGTAAGGGTTTTCGAAGGGTCTAGATGGGTTTTCCCCAAAATAGGCTGTACCCCTGTCATCCCCCAAATAGACTAGAACGATCCCCCTTAAAAGGGACTCCCAAAGTTAAACAGAATCCCCCCTAATGAGGGACCCCTAAAACCCCTAAACGACGCGAAGCGATGCGAAGCCACGAGCCGATCTTAGGGGATAGGATTAGGGGGACCCTTGGGGATATAGACCCTCTGAATAAGGTCCCTGTTTAAGAGAGCCAGAAGAGGGTTCAGAAGGGTCCCCTTTTAAGGGTCTCTCTTATCCTACCTGGGAGATCTGGGGCTTCTGCCCTTCTTCGTGGGAGTACTCCTCGCCGCGGCCAGGGCCTTCTTGAAGCGCTCCAAGTTGGCCTCTGTTAGGGTTCAAGGTTTAGGGTTTAGGGTTTATAGGGTTTAGGGTTTAGGGTCTAGGGTTTAGGGTTGAAGGTTGAGGGTTGAGGGTTGAGGGTTGAGGGTTGAGGGTTTAGGCTTTTCAGCGCACCAAGTTGGCCTTCCCTCTACCTTGGACCCTGTAAAGCCCCCAATTTGGGGACCCGCTTTCAAGATGCTCTAAGGAAGTAGATGGGCCACACTAAGAGTATGATTTTATTACATTTAAGGGGAATCTCTTAGGGGTACTCCCCAAAGGATCGAGGGACTTGAGGAAGCCAAGGCAGCTTATGAGGCTTGATGAGAGTGGCACCTTGCTGGCTGTGTCGTGATCCACAATCGGCTTCGGGTAGTCCTCCGCAGCGCGTTCGAAAAAGAGCTGTTACAGTGTGGGGCCTGCAACCCTGCCCGTCCTTGCCCACAACACATCCAGCAGACTGCTGCACCTTCACAGCAAGTTTGCGCGCTTCATGGATGATCCATCAAGGCTTAAGAGGGCTTAAGACCGAGGGCGATTGATCCTCATGCTGCATGGCCATCACCACTTTAGGTCTAGTAAGCCGCTGGCAAACCCAGAACAAAAAGACCGAACCAAAGCAACACGAATGAATGCGTGAAGCAAACTATTTGGTGGGATTGTAATCTCGGCGTGCAGAGCTAGCAGCGTTAGCTGAGTTGGCGTTCCTTGAACTGCATATGCAAGATGCCCCGCACACTGCTTTGCACTTGAGATTTGCTCGCGCGCCAGGTCTCAACATGTCGCGGCCTCCTTGGGAGCCGTCCAAGGTGCGTAGATGTACTTGCCTCATTGGGAGAAGAAAGAGAGAACATAGGGGTGCCGGCTCATGTTCCAAGGGCACGGCTGGGCATCTTTCGTAGCTCTGGAACGAACTCCCGTATGAACTTGCCCTGGCTCACACACGGCTCCAAGGGTTCAGGATAAACCCTGCAAGCCCCTACAAATCCCTGCCGGGTACAGTACCCCAAACACCCTAAACCCTAAACCCTAAACCCTAAACCCTAAACCCTGAACCCTGAACCCTGAACCCTAAACTGCCCTAAACCCTAAACCCCAAACCCTAAACCCTACACCCCCTAAACCCCTGCCAATCCCCGCTTGTTAAACCTCTAGGGACTCTATAGGGCTCTTGCTGTGCCTCTGGGTCTTGCACGTTCAAGGAGGAGTCCATCTTTGGCACCTGGAAACGTCCGGGTTTAGGGTTTGGGCTTTAGGGTTTTGGCTTGGGGGGGAAAGGTTTAGGGTGTGGGGTTTGGGGTTTGGGGGGTTTGGGGGGTTTGGGGGGTTTGGGGGGTTTCGGGGTCTGGGGTCTGGGGTTTGGAGGGTTTAGGGGTTTTGGGGGCTTGGGAGTCAAGGGTGTCGGGGCGGAGGGTGCTGATCTTTTGGGTGTAACAAGATGTCCAAACCCTCTCAAGCCCTACGCCCCTAAACTCCCTGAGCCCTAAAAGAAGAAAAGCTGGTGGGCAAAGCCCAGAGAAAGAAATGAGGGCACCACTGTGGGTTGCATATCCCTAAGCTGCTGTCACGGAACTTAAACTAGGTTAGTAGCACCACTGTCAGCAAGCCACACTATTGCGTCATATAATTTATATATTATTTATATATATATATATATATACATACATACATTTGTGCACACACACACACTGAGACCCTGATGCTGCCTATTCTGGGAACTGACCCTAAGCTCCCCCTCTGAACAGCGTGAGTCTGAGCCGGCGCACGGGGTGGTAGACGCGGAAGAACGGCGGAGACCATGGCGCGGCACCAGAGAGCCCCAGCCAGTTCATGTTGTTCAGGGACCAGTCCTCAACGGCACAAGGATTGCTGTTGGGTCCGCTGCCTTTGGGGATCCCTATTCTCCACCCAAACCAGGGAATCCGAATTCTGGAACCCTAAACCCTAAACCCTAAACCCTAAACCCATGCAACTGCCCTAAGGCGGCTCAGGGCTCATCATGCTCAGATCTCCGCTTTCACACGAGGCGCCGGCCGCGTCGATGAGCAGCTTGTCGAACACATCCCGGCCTCTGGAAAGACCGCGTTGCCTACGCCTTTGGGCAGCTCGTCCTTCATTTCCTGCTTTAGGGTTTCGGGTTTAGGGTTTAAGGGTTAAGGGTTAAGGGTTAAGGGTTTAGGGTTTAGGGTTTAGGGTTTAGGGTTTAGGGTTTAGGGTTTAGGGTTTAGGGTTTAGGGTTTAGGGTTTAGGGTTTAGGGTTTAGGGTTTAGGGCTGCTTCTGGAGTAGACCGATATTTTTTGAGCCACTGGGCTTCTCAGGCTTCCGTATAAGAGTATGCTTGGAAGGAGTGGCGACCATTCGCTGCAGCAACCTCCGAAGCATTGGCATACACTCTAAGAAGACACTGCTGTCTCCTAAGCCTTTTTGACCCTAAAACCCTAACCCTAAGGCCCTAAACCTTAAAACCCTAAACCCTAGAGTCCCTAAAGCCTCTCCGTTGGAGTTTTTTCGAGGCTGGCGCCCTGCTCCCAAGAGAGCCACAGGTCGCCACGCGTGAGGAAGCACGCCACGGCGTGCCGGGCCAGGTGGTGCATCCACCCGACCTCGGTGTCGCTGTCCAGTGAGAGGCCATGCTTCGGAGTTGAAGAAGTGCTTAGGGGTTTATGAAAGAGGGCTTTTAGTAGGGTTTAGGAATTAACAAGTTGGGGGGGTTCCGAAGCCCCAGGAAAGTTCACTCCCGAAACACAGAGACGCAGCGAGACCAAGCTCGGTCCCCATCCCTGGCCAGCTGCCGCATGCAGGCATCGATGAAGGGGTAGCCGGTCCTAGAAGCGCGGGCCATCTCTCGCCAACAGTGTTTTATGGCCGCTACCCTGCACTTCGACCGATCTACCTGTTCGAATACGAGGGCAATTTTGCAGGATCTGACTGTGGCCTTTTGAGTGAAAAGAGGGCCTTCTTAGCCAAACCCCCAATCCGTGCAGCAAAAGCATGTCCTTCCGCTCTCCCAGGCCGCTAGGAACTTCTTGTTCTTGGCCCAAGGGATCGGCCTCGACGTCGAGCATTTGGGATGTTCCCCCCTTACACGAACAGTCCTTAAAGGGAGTACAATAGGGGACACTAGAATTGGGGACGCCTTTAAAAATGCGACCCTTTCAAAGGGACCACTCAAGAATATGCAGGCGAACCCAGAGAGCCATCGAGCCCCGGGCTTGCAGCACGGGTTACCAGCCTTCCGTGCGCCCCGCGCGTGCGCCAGTTTTCAATTGGGGGAGTGAGGGGCCTTGTATACGGAATCTGCAAGCACACAAGGGACCTAGTTGGAAACAACTGAAACAACCGAAACAACCGAAACAACTGAAACAGCTGAAACAACTGAAACAGCTGAAACAGCTGAAACAACTGAAACAACTGAAACAACTGGAACAACTGAAACAACTGAAGCAACTGAAGCAATTGAAACAACTGAAGCAACTGAAACAACTGAAGCAACTGAAACAACTGAAACAACTGAAACAACTGAAACAAACCTCCCCTCATCAGGCCTTTGGGGGGAGTGGGTGGGGAGTGGATCACCAGAAGCAATCCAACCCCTGAGCGCCTGCCGATCGAAGTTGGGGATGGATGCCTCGCGCCAAGAGTAAGTGGGAATTGGAACTGTAGCTGGCTGAAAGGCTTGAGCAGCCAAGTATCTCCCATGAGGTAGGCCATCTCCCGAAAAAGGATCCTCGGCATTTCCATTAAAGAGACATCGGACTGCGTCGGCCGCTGGCTCACCTGCAAGAGGGGGTTTTCGCCATCAGCCTCATGGTGAGACAGCGAGATGCGAATGTGTGGAAGATCCTTCTGCTCAACACTTTGGAGCATCTCACAGCACGATGTCCAAATGCCCAACAGCTCGTCGGCAGACATCAGCTCGCAGAAGCGCACGAAGAGAGGCACAAGAACCCAGGCATCTGTCGAGGCGTAGAGGAGCATGTCGGTCGGCAGTGGACGAAGTCGCCAGTCTGCTTTCTGGTACTGCTTCTCTAGGGTACGGCCCAGGATCTCTTGGCACACGTCCTTTAAGCTTACAGAGTTCACAGTGTTGCGGTGAAGCTGGTACGCAGTGGCAGTGTCGAAGATGTTACAAACGCGCAGCCCGAAGTTGCTGCGTAGCCATCGAAGGTCATTGTGCGGGCTGTGAAAGACCTTTACGACACCTGCGTCAGTAAAGAGCCCTTCCAGAATTTGATTCATGTCGTCATGCAGCAGCAAAGCATCGAAGATGCAGTGACGGGCTACGCCGCAGCTTTGCCACGAAACTTGCACCGTGCAGACCACCTCATGGTAGCACTCCAGGTCTACGCCGATCACGGCTCCACCGGCAGCTCCCCTCTGAAGGTCGGATCGAAGACGTCGAACTGCATCCGAGGCTTCCGTGGTGGTGCCTACGAAACTTATCGACGACGCGTCCAGGGCGTGGCTGCAAGAAGCGAGGTCTTGCTGTTTCGAGGCTTCCGCAATTGCCGAGAATGTATTCAGTGGCGGGAGGCTAGGTGCTCGATGCGCAACTTCAAAACTGGAAGTTCGTCGCTCCACCTCAAAAGACAGGACCTTGGCTGCCTGGCATGTCGGCAGATTCTCATGCGTCTTGCCCACCAGCCAGTGCGCAATATCAGGATGCCCTGCAAGAGTGGCTTGCTCGGCTGCCTTCTGGATCCAAAGCTCGCCATCGTCTCGTTCTCGCACATCTTCCGAGAGCAGAGTGATACACTCAGCCTGACCAAAGCGAGCTGCCACGAGGATGAGAGGAACAGTCTGGCCATCAGTGTCCAAGGAGTCCAAGGAGTCCAAGGGCCAGGGTCTTGGGGACGGAAACACAGCACTGCACTCCAGCTGGCTCGGGGAAGGCAGGGCTGAAGCTAAGGCTTGCAGCAGGCAGACGTGGCCCTCTGCAGCAGCAGAAGCGAGCGCGAGGCCACCGTGCGCCGACGGGTCTGCCCGAGCGCTGAGGAGGCAGCGCGCGGCCTGGCCATCTTGGCTCTCGACCGCTGCGACCAGCGGCCAATCGAGCGGAACTCTGCAGGCCAAGACCAGGTCCTCCAGGAGGTCGGGTTCTTGCACCAGGCCGTGGCGCAGCGCCAGGGTCAGCGTGGGCTCGGTGACCGTGGCGCCGGCCGAAAGAAGGAGCCGAAGGCACTCGTGGAGCTCCGTGAGATCCAGATCCGGGTCCAGATTTTCGACCTTCCGGGGCTCCAGGGCGCCCCGCGCGCCTCCCCACATCGGTAGAGGCGGTAAAGGTGGCAGCGGCATCTGAAAGGGAGGCCAGCTCTTTTGTGGCCCTAGGTTCTCAAAGGCAGTTGCAACGCAGAGGCCCAAGAAGTCGTCTGCTGCGTCTACTTGGAAGGATGCAAGGAGCTTTCCCAGCACGCGGCTGCATCTCATCCGGCAGGCACAGCCCACTGCGCTGCGCATCATGTCGTCCAGCTCTTTGCAAGAACCGTCCCTCACGAGGTGGCCAATCAGCTCTTCCACTGCGCCATCTCTCTCACCGGCAACTGCATGGTCAAGTGCAGAGTGGCCCCAGCTCTGACAAGAGTACGGGTCCGCCAAGGCTGCCAGGAGCTGATTCAAGCAGACTCGCTGCCCTCGAAATGCAGTGCTGGCAAGAGCTCGCGTAGCCTCACGACGTCCGTCGGCACTGGCCAAGAGGATTTCCAAGGAGTCTGCTGCTCCGGAGGATGACGCAACCTGCACGGGCGTGGCGCCGAAGGCGTCTCGCACATGGATGCATGGCATCCAACCTTCTAGGAAGAGCTGCACGCACTTCGGGCTGCCTCCAGCCTCTCGGCCACCCACCATCTTCACCCCGTTTCGGCCTCCATCCGGTCCCCAAGACGCCTTGTGAAGCGCATTCCGGCCCTGCTCGTCCACTTTGCTGGGGTCGGCTCGGAATTTCAGGAGGACCTCTGCAATTTCGGGCAAGTCGCACCAGGCAGCCTGAGCAAAAAGGTATCAGACTGCGCACGACATGAGCCTACATCAAGTGCTGCAGCATACGGTATTGCCATGCGCCATAGGATGCGGCGTGCTACAGCTTGGCTTGATGATGCAGGCCATGCAACCTTTGCCAAGACTGTCTGGCCACCAAAATTGGTATCATCTACGCCAATCTCACCAGCGCAGTGGGCAAGGATCCACTCGGTGGCCTCTTTCTGGTTGTTCGCCGCTGCCCAGTACAACGCGCTTCGGCCGAACTTGTCCCGCTGCGCAAAGACCTTGGGCCCCTCCAGCGCCAGAAGATGCTTCAGGCAGCAAGTATTTCCGCACATCGCGGCATAAAAGACCGGCGTCAAGCCGCCAGAGTCTGCTTGCAATGATGCCCCGTGGGCCTTCAGGACCTGTAGCATCTGGGCACCCAAACAGGACCCGTCAACCCCCGTGGAGTCCTCAGAGTCAGCAAAGGCAATCCCCAAATCTGCAGCTATCCCATGGGCTGCGTGGTCGCCGGAGCTTGGCTTCTTGATGCACAAGGACATGGCGAGGTGAGGAAGTCTCACCTCGGTCCACCGCTGGCTGCCTGCGCCGCCGGCCGAAAACCCTGTGCCTCTGGGTAGGCCGCGCGTGGCCTGCATGCGGATTGACATATTGACAGGTGCGCCGTCCACTAGCAAGTCAGCAACTTGCCGGACATCTCCAGACTTTACGGCAGCTGCAAGGGAGCTCTTCACTTGAAGCAACTTCTCGCGCTTCCGGGCATCAGCCGCTTGCTGCTCGGGCGTGGCTGGTGAAGAGAAGCTCGGTTGGTTGAGAGGTGGTTTCGCTTTAGATAGAGCAGCTGCATACTCGCTGCTGTCTTCCAGCTCAACGTCGCACACTTGTTCATCCGCGCAGGCGGCCCTCAGCGCCCAAGAAGCCCCCTTGCTTCTCATGACCCCAAAGAACCACCAAAGCACCAGGTCGCGGCCCTTCAAAGGGCCATCCAACTTCGAGATCCTCGACGCCGAATCCTCGGAGGAGAGCTGGGCCCTCCACCAAGTCGAAGTCAGAAGCGCCGCAGCAATGGGCACATCGCTGAGGAGGCCGGGCCTCTCACCACCCAGGAAGTCAGGTGGCGCGCCGCGAGGCGGGATCCCAGCTCCGCCGTGGCCGTAGTGGGACGTGATGATGGAGCACAGGCGCTGAACCAGCGGACCGAGCGAGGACGGCCTTCCGGCAGCCTCACGGATCTTCAGGCTTAGGCCCAAACAGTCCGCCATTCGTGGACAGGTAGTCGCCTGAGTAGATTCAGTAGGCGGCTCCAGCAGGTCCGCGCTCCTGCGCAAGATCTCTGGCAGTTCGGCCACGACCTGGTGCTCGGGATGCTCGGGCTGCTCGGGCTTTAGCAGAAGGCAAGAGGCCCCCTCGCGAAGCAGCTGGCTCTTGCGAAGCAACAGCCGCCGGGATCTCTGCACAGCCTTACTCGTCCCCGAGCAGCCTACCGCGGCAGCCAGGAAGGCTAAGTAAGCGCACTCCACGGAAGGCTTCTGCGGAAGAACCAGGATGCAATGCCCCGAGAACGAAGCTTCCGAGGCTCGGCTCTGGGATGCCGGAGACCCCGCGGCAGTAGCCAAAAGCATCCCAACTCAGAGAACTACTCAGAGGAGGGAAGGAAAGACATGCAGGGCTGGCCTGAGCCAGCCTAAGGCTGCTACTGACATGTCCGGTGTGTTGCAAAATCCCACACGCGCCATGCCCAAGAAGACACCCCCCCCGCCCCGTGCAAAAGCTGAGACACGGCTGACCCAGCAAGGACTCGGGTGGCTTGGAGTGGTTCGAACCCGAACAGACCTGCACAAGTGCAGTCACGCAACACGAAAAGGTGAACCTGCACTGCCGGGTCGGAGAGGCTCGCACCTTCTTCAAGCCGTAATAAAACTCGCGGATGCTAACCTCAGGCCCAAAACATGCAGCCTCCTTGCATGGCAGCTTGATGGCGACAAGCTGCGCATCCGAACTTGAAGTACGGCGAGAGGACTGTTGTGTCCGGCGGATCCTGAGCCATGCTCAGGCATGACAAACCTGTCAGAAGCCCTGCGGCTGGGCTCCATGTCTCAGGTGCAAGCGAAAGCCGCAGATCTCGTCTGAGGCTTGCGGAAGGTGCGGATGAATTTGGTTTTCTGCCCAGAAAAGGCTGAGAATACGGCACACGCACTATCTAAAGGAGGCAACAACTTTTGCCTTGAGCATGGATGCCATTCGAGCGGCACCAGCTGTCTCGCCCCCTTTGAGGTGGGTCTGTGGGCCTTACTAGGGCCACTTCAATGCAAACCAGATATAGAAGTAGTAGCAATGCAAGTCGTCGTGTAGTAGTAGTAGTAGTAGTAGTAGTAGTAGTAGTCGTCGTCGTCGTCGTCGTCGTCGTCGTCGTCGTCGTCGTCGTCGTCGTCGTCGTCGTCGTGGTCGTGGTCGTGGTCGTGGTCGTGGTCGTGGTCGTGGTCGTGGTGGCGGTGGTGATGGCGGTGGTGGTGGTAGTGGTTGTGGCAGTGGTGGTGGTGGTGGTGGTGATCGTGGTAGTGGCAGTGGCAGCGGCAGTGGCAGTGGCAGTGGCAATGGTAGTGGTCGTGGTCGTGGTCGTGGTCGTGGTCGTGGCCGTGGCCGTGGCCGTGGCCGTCGTCCTCGTCGTCGTCGTCGTCGTCGTCGTCGTCGTCGTCGTCGTCGTCGTCGTCGTCGTCCTAGTCGTCTGTCGTCGTCCTAGTCGTCGTAGTCGTCGTCGTCGCAGCCGCAGTCGCAGTCGCAGTCGTCGTCGCAGTCGCAGTCGCAGTCGTAGTCGTCATCGTTGTTACTACTACTCAAGTCGAATCGTTGTTAATACTACTCCTGTATGGTATTCGGACTCGTGTAGCACGAGCCGTAGCATTCCCTGCTTCTCAGTCAGCTGTCGTCGTGGCAAGACGTAGTCAGTGGCAGTCAGATCGTGGCTTACGCCAGGAAAAAACGCTGACACTGAAAAGGCTGAGGCCACGGCTCGACTTGTAGCCTTGGCTCATCACAAGGTTTTGGAGGCACAAGCTTTGGGGCTTGCAGGCTTCTGTGGCCAATCTGCCAGTTGCGGGGGGCAACATTGACATCTCAGGAAGCAGCCCATCTTTTTGAGATCTGGCACGTCGTAGGCCTGTCGTCTGTGGCGGGCTGCTTGCCACGTTTAAGGCTTAGGTTTGAGGGTTCAGGGTCGCAGGATTGTCAGCTGCATGCGCCTTTCCTGCCGCGGCCGGTGGCAAGGCAGGCCTCATGCTCCAGCTGGCATGAGCCACCCCCAATCACCAGTCATTGCAAGAGAAGTTGCAGGTCTAAGCAGCCCTGAAACTGAACCCGAACCCCAAAATCCAACCTCCGCTGAAGGCCCGGGCAGTTTCTTGGGAGCGGGTCGCGGAGCTGCGGGCTCTCCAAGTGCCTCGATGGGGGATTGAAGGGTTGTAGCTGCTTGTGTTCCGCTGTGGGCTGTGAGTGGAAGATCGACCTGCATTTCGCAAGTGCAGACCATGCCCTCAACTTTCAATGCCATGCCACCTTAGCCAAGGACATCATGCCGTTGTTTGTCGTCGGAGAAGACCCTGGAAGCAAAAGGGCAGAGCTGGCACATCGGCAAGTAATAAGAGTCATAATAATCATGGTAATTCGCCTCGGCTTCCTGCTGGGAAGCGTCTGGAACAAGCAGACCCGGATCCGATCTCCTTCCCTAACCAACCCTTTCATGTGACGCCACCCCCCCCCCCCCCCGTGGCACCCCGCCCGATCGCTTGCAGCTGCAAACCGATGTTGGCGGCTCCTACATAGTGAGGCCTCAAAATGCGCGAAATCCCCCCTCCCCCGCCCCGTCCTGCCGATAAGCCTGCTTCTTCCCCCTAACCAACCCTTCCACCCACTGGGATGCCCCTGTGGGACGGGAGGCGTCATCTCCACATACTGCATGCTCTGGGCCGGCCCGGCTGCCGATGCGGCGCGCGCAAGCGTTTACAATTACAAGTAATAATAGTAAGGGGCACCTTTGTTCTTCGCCAACGCAGCGTCGACGTCGTAGAGCGTGTGCCCCGAGAACGTGCGCACCTGGTGCAACCAAATCTGCCGGCGATACTGCACCACAACAAGCATGACTATTGTTGTTGTTATGACTGTTATTGTTATCAGTATTATTATTGTTATTGCTATTATTCTTATTAGGAGCCAATTTCAGAAGTGCTGCGGCCTCCACGCTGTTCTTCTTGGCCAGCTTCTCGATGGCTGCATCTCGCTTCCTTACCACATTTCGGCTCGCCCTAACGATGCACGAGAGATGGCATGAGATGGCATGAGTATCCAGTGCCCCCTGATCCATTCTGAAGGCCCAGCCGTGCGTAGGGCTCCGTGTCCTTCTCCCACACTATGAGCTGAGGCTTGGCCTGGCGAGCATTTGAGCCACCACCAAAAACCCCACAGCGCTTCACACGCACGACCCCTGCTACCCCTGTTGGAGGCCACAATGCCTCAAACTCCTCTGCAGGGGGAACTAATGTGTTGTATCAGAAGGCACGAGAAGAACTGGCTCCGCTGCACGTCGTGCGCAATGCGCGATGCGCGCGCGCGCGCGCGCGCGTGTGCAGGTAAAGCATGCGGTGGTGCGAGCTGAAGCAAGAATGAGGGTACTTGGCCTATAAGTTCTCAGTATGGTGTTGATAAGGTGCCTGTTTCAGAAAGCCCCTCCCGTTTTGCCCGGAAGCGGAGTCTCAGAGGACATAGGAAGCTCAGCGCAGGGCTGCCAGCAGCGGCTTTCCACTTTGGAAGAGCTTGCTGAAGACCTCCTGCAAACTCAACGAAACGCCACTCACTCCCCCAAATACTCTCCATCATGGGGCACACCTCCGGCTTGCCACGCAAGATGATCAGGCGGCTACCTAAGCCAACTCTCAGCTCACGCCGGTGACCCTTAAAGGCTCTACTGCAATCAAGGCCACGGTAGCGCTTCCGAAGCTGCCTCAGGAACAAACAAGGGGGTGCGATCTCTGAGCTCAAGCCGGCTGCAAGCAGGGCGTTTATAGTGCTTGCGGATGCGGTGCTGATCTAGATCTCTCAGGCAGTCCAGCAGGAAGTTGTAACCTGGGACTTTCTTCGATAGCCAAGAATTTTCTTCACATGAAAGGAAAGGTTGCTCCAGGGCGTCCGAGCAATCGGCGATTGGGCCCAACGAACTTAGGGCCAAAGAAGGGATCCAGCACGAAAACCGGGCCTCGCACAAGCCAGTCTTTTGTGTGGGGGGGGAAGGTGACTTAGGGTTTAGGGTTTCAAGTTGAGGGTTTAGGTTTAGGGTTTAGGGTTTAGGGATTCGACTGCAGTAGTAGATTCAGCCGGAGGCTCTGAGGCAGGCACACACGTACTTCACTCCAGACTTGGCGGCCTTCGCAGGCAGATTCAGAGATTCTAAGAGTCGGAGCCCTGAGCCCCCCTTGGCACGTGCCTCCAAAAGCGGCGCGTTATCGTGAAGGCGGAGGCCCTTGCGGAACCTTCAATACAGCTTATGGAGCTCTTGTAGAAATCTTGCACAGCCTGCTGCTGCGCCCTTCCCTCGACCATCTGCAAGCCGAGGCGCCACACTACAGCACTGGAGGCCTCTGCCTTCGGAGCCATTCTTCGCTCTTCAGCGCGAAGTTCTACGAGAGGTCCCTAAACCCCTAAGAACCACGGTAGCCCTAAACCCAAAGCTGACTCGGTCGCAGCCGAGCTTAAGGAGAGCTACTCTACGAGGCCCTGAAACCCCCTCAACCCCTGTAAATCAAGACAATCCCTCAGTCACCCCTTTTTGTTCTGCTTCCCCCCAAAGAAAAGATTCCCCTTATACACCCCATTGTGTAGCACAATCAGCATAATCCCTTCGTAAGGACGGGATCCGAAGTATACTATGTGCAGCGTATACAAGCGTTAGATAACAAGGGACCATAAGGGACCCAAATTGAGGGCCCAGACTTGGGACTCAGTTTGGGAAACTCCCATTGAGGGTTTAGGGCGCGGGCCTTCTCAAGGCCGAGCCAGGAACGCAGAGATGCAGCGGAAATCTTAGGGTTTAGAGGGTTCCATTTTTCCTATTACAAGGTGGAGCCTTGTCATCATATACTGCACCCAGACAGGACCGTTACAGTATGACTCTCGTAGGTCAGTGTACTAAAACGGCCTATAGTTTAGGTCAACTCCCCAAAACCTCTGATGGTTTTAGGGTTTGAGAATGCTCCGCACCAAAGCAAAGCCGACACGGATTTTGGGAGGCCGTCTTTGTGTCAAGAGTGCTGGCGAAGGCTTTGTCACCAGCATCACGGGCGCGGCACGCCAAGAACCAGAAATCGATGCACCCAGACAAGCCCGAACATGACGAAAGTAGCTGGTCTGCTCACTCCAGCTCCTTGATGATCGGTCGCTTCCTGAATGATGTCCAGACCCCACACCGACAAAAAGCAAGTTGGAAAGCAACGGCTCTTTAAAAGTCAAAGCGCTTTACCTCTTGACATCCGGGCCACTTCATGGGTTCGTGAACCACCGTTCCGGGCTTCGAGTGCTTCTTGCGATTCGTCTCCTTGCGCTGCTTCGCCTGAAAGAGAGCTTTCGGCTCTCATGGGGCTCCCCAAGAAGCATCTTGTGGGGGGCTTGCGAGGAATGGCCTCCCGCATGATGCGCCGCTTATTTCCGATCGACTTGATCTGGGAGGTTCATGAGGTTCACAGACTCAAGAGCGAGTGCTCCAGGAGCGCTCCGGAAAACTGAGTCTGGAGCCATCTTGGGCACATGCCTGTCTCAGGTTCAACTTGTGGGGCACAGCTTCTTCGAAGAAGGTGCATCTTCCCAACTCCGAGAGCACTGTTAAGTTCCGGCCTGTGTCGCTTGATGCGGGCAATCTCTGGCATCCGCGCAAACTTCTGCTTCAGCGTCTCTCTGTACGCCTCGCATAAAATCGCCACTTCTAGTCTGACACAATCCTGTGCTTGTCTCAATAAACTATGAAAATAAGGCAATACAATATCATATAATAGAACATATAGTAGAACATATGCATGTATATACATGAAGTAGGGTATATATTTCTTGTACCCCTGGAGTCTCCGAAGAGCTGTCCGAGCAAGAAGCGAAAAACTAAAGCACACCACGAAGCCGCTCCAAGTCCTTCACGAGCATCAAGAGGACCGAGCGCACTTCATTAACACGTGAAACGAGAGCATGCGGAACACATTGTCTCCGATGAAAGTTGATGAGAAACTTTGAAAAGTTTGGACATCTCAAGTGGCACGCTATACAGAAACCGTCCCGAGCAGTGACATCAAAAGGGAGAACAAAGTGCTTGCCCTTTTGCCAATGATCAATGAGACATTTCCACCTAGAAAGAACAGCTTTCCACCATTTGGAAAAAGCAGAAATATTTCTTGTACCCCCAAAAGGACACCAGGTATATACACTCACCAAATTTAAAAAGGAACCTTATATACACTCACCAAAAACAGTAATACAAACCCTGCTTCAATACATATACAGGCTCTCTCGTTGCCACCGCCTCGGCCCGCTTCTCTCGAGGCGTTGACACGCCAAGCTTTTGATCAGCTTTGGCCTAGCACACGTCACACCGCGAGGGAAGGTTGGGGGCGAGATTCAGCATGTTGGCCAATACATACGTATATGTGTATATATATATATATGTATATGCATAAATACACGCATGCATATGTGTGTGCTTTTATGATATGAAAATAAGATAACACAAACTACCACAATAAGCACGCAGCCAGCTGCCTTCCAGACACGAACGTTCGTATCCTCTGAGCCAGAGAGCACGAACCTGCCGTCCGGAGTGAAGTGGCAGCAAAGCACTCGCCTCAGTCAAAAAGATGCTGCGTCCAGATCCACCAGCGCAAGCCAAGGGCAGCCCAGTTGCTGCATCCTCTTTCCGTGGTAAACCTGTGCAGCACTACGCATGCCTGCCGTACTTCTGGCATCCATGTTCGCAGCGCAGAAAGGTTGTAAGACTGTCTGAAGTCCGCCTCCTTGGAGCGCTGTGAGCTGCAGTTCCAGAGTCGGACGGTGTTGTCATAGCTGGCGGACACGAACTCTTGGCCTGCAGCTGGCGAAGCACGCCTCACCCCCATCGCCTAAGCACCCGTGATCCCCGTAACGGTAAGGCCAGCGACCGTTTGGTGCGTAGTCCACATCCAGAACAGCCATGACATGGTCCCAATGTCTGTACATTGCCGCCGACAGCTTGCGCATGTCGAAGGAATACAAACCTTGGCAAGCGGGATGGCGCTAGACGGCTGGCTGGCTCTGCTAAGCAAAAGATTCAGCCAAAACAATGCACAGCAACAGGACGGATTCGCATTGTGCCTACTTCAGGACTCCTTCTTGTCTTGCGGACCAGCGGCTGCAATCCTCATTCGCAACCGTGAAGCTCCTGAGCTCAGTAGGCTTTGGAGGCTCACCATAACAGTCACTGGCAATTCTGTCAAGCAGCATTGGCCGCATTGGGTTCCAGCAGATTCCATTGGAGCGAAGCTTCAGAAGAACCTCGCCGACCCTGCCCTAAACCCTAGACCCTAAGCCATTCCTGAGCCCCAAAACCCTAAACCCTAAACCCTAAGCAGTACTCTTGAAGAAGTGCCACAGCGGCCTTGCGGATCGCCGAGTTCCCTCGCAGGTCCTCAACTGCGCAAAGGCTTCATCTGACTTCTTCAATAAAATGCCGGTTTAGGGTTGAGGGTATGGGGTTTAGGGTTTAGTGTTTACGGTTTAATTAAGGTTTAGGGTTTAGGGTTTAGGGTTTAGGGTTTAGCTACCTGCAAGGCACTACACACCATGATGTGCTCTGATATGCTTTAATGAAGACGATTTGTGCCATGATATTTGACAACACATGTCATACAAAAAACTGTAGGATCCTGGAAACATACGGCAATATGCTACATTACATACTTATGAGATACTGGCACAGCACTTTCGCATGTAACGCGACGTCAGGGAAGAAAGCAACAACTCTGGGCCACACATGGAAGCAGTTCCAACTCTACCTTCGCTTGTCGGGAACCTTGTTATGAGGAGCTCGTGCGGCTAGGGGTTTTTTGGAGGGTAGACCGGAATGGCACCGTAGGCGTCGCGCGTAGAGTCCGATGGACCTGTCCACGGCGGTTGACGCCAGCAGACAGGGCTCAGCAGGGTTGAAGCGGCCCTTGGAGCGACGGACGGGGTTTAGGGTTTAGGGTTTAGGGTTTTGGGTTTAGGGTTTAGGGTTTAGGGTTTAGGGTTTAGGGTTGGAGGTTTTGGGTTTGAGGGTTAAGGGGGGTTTAGGGTTGGAGGTTTTGGGTTTGAGGGTTAAGGGGGGTTTAGGGTTCAGAGGGTGTAGGGTTCAAGGTTCAGGGGTGTTTAGGGGGCTCGAAGTTCAAGGGGGGTCAGGGTTGGGGAGGCTTTGAGGGTTCGCGCAGCCAGGGTGATGTCTTCTATGCCGTCAAGTCGCCGTGATGACCCGCTCGCAGCCCCACTCGAAGGAACTGAGCGGCGTGGAGCGATTGTAGTCCCAAACATCGACCTGAGGCATCTGGCCCGCAAGGGGACTAATTATTAATTACGCTAGCAAACATGCAATGCCAGAGTGTTGGGGGTCAGAATGCGTGGAAACTGCTTCCAGCAAGCCGCCGTGTCACCAACTGTGACAAACATAGGCTTCTGCCAGTGGTGATCAATGGCCTCATTGCGGAGAGGTCCGAAGCGGCTGAATGACACCTCCATCCCTGCTGCCGGCTCGTCACACCTCTTGGGGCCGCGGCGCCCGGAATGTAGGCCATATTGTACACCGCCTTCGACATCGACAGCTCCACACCAACTCTATCAGACTCTTGCCTACGAGCATAAAAACGTAAGGTTTCGAGTTTCGAGCTTCGAGACGACTTCAAAACGCTGCCGACGCTTTCGACAAGCAATGAGAGAGGGCACGACACAATCGGGAAAACTTCACGACGCGATGCTTTCAACCAGCAACAAAAAGAGCGGGGCTTTCGTCCGCTCTCGTGCTGCCGATGCCTTCAAAAGGTACCGAAAAGAGCACACCCGAAGCCGCAAGGCCAAAGGCGAAAAAACAAACAAGCCTAGGAAGCGTTGAAAGAGACGTACAGTTCGCCGAGCCTCCCCACACCTTAAAAGATCTTAAAAGCCTGCGTTGACATAGGGTTGCTGTCCCCAGCTTCATGGGCTTTACAAGTTCGAACGTTCAACATGCGGACCGGCACACGCCTCTGCTTCCTCCGAGATCACACATGCCTTTGGCTTGATGCTCCACATCTTGGCCGCCTTGTGACGTCAACAGTCATGACTCAACTTCAGCCGACTGCAGCAGGTTCACCCATCGCCTTGTCATCGCCACACGAAAAAGCTTTTCGTCCATCAGGGCTCAGGGTGACGCCGCGCACGAAGCCCTGCGCACGCAGAGTTGGGCAAACACACACCGTCCAAGCAGAAAGCAACCTCGCCTCGTGGGCTTTGGAGACAGAGGCCCCACAGCGAAGATACTGCCTCAGAAGCAACGACATGTTCGTGAGCATTCCTAGTATTCTTCGTGTTCTGAGATTCATTAGTACGATGGGAATTAGTAGCCTTGTTCGTGCGATTCGCATGCTTTAAGAGTATCAAGCTTCTTCATGCTCATGCAAAAAGGGAGAGAGACAAAGAGAGGGGCATCCTGGCATCGCTGAGGCCGCAGACATGTCCCAGAGCCGAAGTTCCCCGTCGCAGCTCCCGGTCCTGGGTGCATCCAAGAACCAGTGAGCCTCAAAGTGGCCGTCATGAAAATCATGAATATTCGGAGTATTCATGATTCATGAATAGTGAGATTCATGAGTCTTCGTAAGAGTATGAATATTGGTAGCCTTGCTGGCTGAGGCTGGTGCAGCAAGGGCGCGGCCTTGTAAGTCGGGGCATGCCAGGGTTTGTGCACTTCGTATCGAATCACTGTGCAAACTCCCGTAACACTCTATGTCCGCCGAAGCTGATTCCACCAGTCAGGTGAGGACCCAACCATGCGGCGGGCAATCGCCATGCATTTGACGGAATCCGTGTGCCCTTCAAGCGCCTCTCAGCTCTCATTTCAAGAAATGTTTCTGCCATTGTGAACAGGCTTTCTCTGCGCAGGGCTCCATAAACACCCACGTATCATGGCTTCGGTATCATGTCCACGGGTAGTCTCCTTCTACTACGACTACTACTCTTCCTAATACTCTTCCTCCTGCTCCTGCTCCTCCTCCTCCTCCTCCTCCTCCTCCTCCTCCTCCTCCTCCTCCTCCTCCTCCTCCTCCTCCTCCTCCTCCTCCTCCTCCTCCTCCTTTTCTCCTTTTTTCCTTCTACTTCTACTTCTACGTCTACTACTACTACTACTACTACGACGACGACTACTACTACTACTACTACTTCTTCTTCTTCTACTTCTACTTCTACTTCTACTCCTACTCCTACTCCTACTTCTACTTCTACTTCTACTGCCGCTACAGCCGACATGCCTTCACGAACGGCTTGGCAAAGATCTTTTCCAACTTCACTGCCTGCGTACAGCGACTGGGCCAACAGTGTCAAGTCTGCTATTCGTACCGCGCGAATGACAGCACAAGTCAGACAGGAACCGTCCAGGGAGCCGAGAGCCGCCTCGCCTTCAGCGCGCGCTGGTACTCGCGGGCGCGCTCAAAGGGATGGAGGTCTGGGTCCGCATTGCGGAAGTGGCGGGTGATGTCGCTGGACGTAGCACCCAAGTAGTCCTGGCTGGATATGTGCAGCACATGGCAGCACATGGCAGCACTAGCAAACACCGTGAACCACAACACTGGTGGCAGTGTAATCGCGTCATGGAGCCCAAATTGCTGCTACAGTTTGCAAATAGACTCCTAGGCCTCGGCATGTTCAAGGCATCAATGACCAGGCTCAAGGAACTTACTGAACTAAAACATACAGTGCCCTCGTGCCCTTCATCAAGCAACCACAGCCAATAGGCACCAGTAGCGGACGTGGTTTTAACGGTAGGGAGTAGGAAGAGGCACTAGACTTGTCTAGTTTGTGATAGAGCTCTGATCAAGGATTCGCAGGGCAGATATGCTGAAAGCCGTGAAAGCCAGTATGCTGTCAGCGACGCTCTGAGCCAGTTGACATTTATTGGCTCTCACAATGACTCCTGGCTGCGCATCGTCAGTTCTAAGTGCCCAAAAAAAGTGCCGGAGTTGTGTGGCATGCGCACCTGCTCTACTGCAGAATCTGCATAAGAGTTGGAAACAGAACGTATGGCCCGAAGCTGTGGAGGACGATGATCACAGGCTCAAAGCGTGTCATCCTTACTCTCAAGACCTGACAACCCCGTGACACGCTGAACTTCGGAACCTATGCCGCATCCTGTCCTGCTCGCTTCGCTGCAGCACCTCGACACGGCCAGACAGGAACGCAAAACAAGAGTCGAGTCCGCAGCACAGCGGGGGCCTTGATCTTCATGCTGAAGCGCAGCCTGAAACCAAAGCTATGAAAGTTGCCTCCCCAAGTTCTGGGCAGAGGCTGCTCAACTATGCCGAACTCGAATGCTGCCAAAAGCTTGCTCAAGCCGTGCCTTCACGGCCCTTTCATGGCTTCAGGTCGGCTGCATTACAGAGACGGGCACTACAGGACTAGACTCACTAGAAGCTTTGGGTGGGCGCGGTGTGAGGTTTTTTGGGCTTGATGGATACCATCTGCAGACATCTGCTTCGCTTGAGAACTGCGTGCATGGCTCAAGTTGAGGTGGCAGTGCAAGTGCAAAGTCCACAGCATCTCTCTGAGCAGGGTTTGGGGTTTAGGGTTTAGGGTTTAAGGCTCAGGGTTTTGGGGCTTGGAATCGGTGGGGGGCCTGAGTTCAGTTATGTGCTCGGTCAGGTGGTCCTGCAAACCGGCATTCACACGCTCATGAAATCCGGCCAGCCTCGGCTCCCTCCCAGGCAGTCCTTGCGCAAACCGTAGGCATCCAGGACACTGACCGTCTTCACGACTGCCTGCCACTGGGCACGCCTCCGACCCTCGGGAACTCCACCCTTAGCGAATTCCCGAAGACGCTCGTCACAGCCCCCGATGCTCCTAATTTCAGAACATCATGGTATCGTGTACCATCATGCTATTCTTCTACACTAGACATCAGAAACTCCTCGAATCCATCGAACCTTTTCAGAACATCAGAAACTCCTCCAAAATCCATAGAACAGTCATAGAACCTTGTCAAAGCTGCCGCCCAACATCTGAGAATCTCCCCCGATTGGCCTCTTCGGGTGCATCCGGATCTGCTGTCTGCAGTGGACCCACCAGCTTCTGAACCGAGCGGGGTTTAGGGTTTAGGGTTTAGGGTTTAAGGTTTAGGGTTTAGGGTTTGGGGTTTGGGGTTTGGGGTTTGGGGTTTCACTTCCCAATTCGAAACTCAGTACGGGCATTCAGGAATGCCCGTAAGAAAGATTGGGGTCGTTAGGGGTTCGACGCGCAGAGGTCGAGCAGAACAGGCCCTCAAGCAGCGTCTGGCAACCCGGCACCTTGTTAACATGGCCCCATCTGTCAACCGAAAGTGGCATGGCACTCCTGCATGCCTTGCAATGCCCTACAGCTTGCGCAGGGAGATTCACAACTCGTGGCATGCCGCTGCGCCTTGTACAGCAGCTGCAGATACGGGGAAGTGGGCAAAGAAGAACGGCTGGCCGCAGTGTCAGTGGCGGAATGAGCAACAGCACTTTCACTCGACTTAGAACCGATCAGGGGCCTATCATACTTCACGGCCTGGCAGTTGTCGACAATCTCAGATGAGTTTGGAGCTCTGTGACCAGCCGCCGCATCCTCTGCAAGGTGCGACCGGTTCAAAAGCGAAGGCTGCGTCCTACATCTGCGCTGCAAGGGTGCCGTGCCATGTCGTGCGCCCTCTTTTCGTCACGAGTTCAAGGCTTCCGGTCATGTCATCGCAGCAACTCAAAGGGAGCCGTACACGGATCTTGCCTTTGCGCCTTAGCACCGCCCATGTCGCAGGAGGCACCCAAAAAAACAATGTGCGAAAGTTCTGAAGTAACCCTCATGACCAGAATAACCATAGCAACCACAAGAATGATAAACCACATGCCTTTCAGTCAAGACACTGTCGCGCGATGAGGGCCTGTGCATGTCCAACTGCTTGGAGAATTCTTCGTAGCACTTTCGAAGCCTAAACCCTAAACCCTAAACCCCAAACCCCAAACCCTAAACCCCAAACCCTAAACCCTACATTAGCGCTGCAGTCCAGGGGCTCAGAAGTGCCCTGCATCAGCCAAAGGCTGCGCCGCTTGGCTGCCACCTCTTCATTTTTGCTGGCTACTTTGCATGGTTCAGCTGAGGGTTTAGGGTTTAGGGTTTAGGGTTTAGGGTTTAGGGTTTAGGGTTTAGGGTTTAGGGTTGGAGGTTGGAGGTTGGAGGGTTGGCAGTGGGAATCCCTCTGCTGATGCCAGGCAGCATCACTGGCCACGCTCCAGTAAGCCCAGAAGAATCCAGCAAGCATCGCCAGAAACACCTTTTTTCTCGCATCTTCAGATCGCAGTCACATGGTGCAAGAAGCAGACATCGGCGGACATGAGCAAAGCTCCACGAAATTTTGAGGTCTCGGCCGTGCAGGCCACAAAAACCTCGAAGGACGTGTTCCAGACACATTTGGACACATCCAGGACAGGTGGACAAAAGCCTGCTTCTGGGACATTGCTAGAAGGCAGACCCCGACCTGGCGCGGGAAGTCCGGGGCCGTCTTGAAGCCGGATGTTTCCGTCGGGGCGGATCCGGTGCGCATGATATCGATGAAGTACCAACCTCCGGCACACAAAACAGCTGAACAACGGCATTCTGACAGATCAAGCTTGCACCCAGCGGGTTTGTGTACATGTGCGTACATGGGCTCCGGCTTTAGACTTAAGTTAGATGGGACCGAGTGGCTGGAAAGGCCGAAGAACACGAGGACCTTGCAAACGCCAGACCAGCTGCGCAGGTCGTGCGAAAGGTTCACGGGCGCGGAGCCAGTGATCAGAACCTCGGTGACCCAGAAGATGCTGAGCCCGCCAAGCAGGACCAGCTTGAGCCACGCGGAGAGCGTGAGCTCGAGGTAGAAGCGGTCGGCGCCCACCACCCCCAGGAACACGGCCAGGAAGTACGCCGTGGTCTGAGACTTCCGCTTCGTGCGGCACTCTGGGTCCGCCCACTGGGGATCGCACTTGCAGAAGGGGGTGGGGTTGCTGTCAGACGTCTTCTCCCAAGAATGGCAGCCGCCATGTCCACTGCACTGCAGCGTCGGGGACAGTCCTGGTAAGGAGCACGAGTTGAGCACAGCTTCCCTCGAGGATGCACCCGGAGGCACGAATTGATACGTGACAAGGTAGTCATCCTGCTGCCGCCAGTTGCCCACGGTGTGAATCCCAACGGCATCGCAACCTTGCAGCAACATGGCCAGGGGTGCCAGGACCAAGGCCAGGACGAAGACGCGGGAACTGTGCTTGAAGTCCGATCCGAAGCCCATCAGTGCCAGCAACATTGCGACTCCAGGGCCACAGGAACGGTGAGCAGCTCCGGTGCAGAAGGTGGAGGGCCCGTCATGTGGCTCGTAGCCGGAAGTTGCGAGGACCGTTGTCTTGGTGATGGGCTTCGTGTGGTGAAAAACGCACTGCACCGACTCATCGCAGCACTCCACTGCGCAGGCCTTCACGTAGTTCTGGCATGAGCTCATGCAAGGCCGGATGTATGCTGTCTCGCTGCCGCGCGCACAGCCTGCCTTTGCACGGGGGAAGTAAGTGTAGCAAACCATCTTCCAAATGGCCTGGATGCAATCGTCTGCCTCCTTGGGGTTGGGATAGTCCCAGGCATCCTTTCCCAGACCATTCAAGTGAGTGAAGTAGGCGGTGTTGGCCGCGCGGTCCTGCTTTCGGACCAAAGCCGCCACGCTCTTCTCCTCGGCACTCTGAGGTTCAGGCACGGCAATGTCGTAGTCCACGGCCCCCTTGCAGAAACCGATGGAGAGTGCCGTGTCCTCCATGGTTGTACAGTACCACTTGGTGGAGTTGCTGAGTCTATAAAGGTCTTCCAGACCAGGAAACACTGGATTGATGCCTTGGCAGGGAAACAGAAAGCAAGTATGATACAACGCCCCATTTCATGAATGCTCAGGGCGCACGAAGCAAACCGATCATCCGAGCAGCAGTTATTCTGAAGGCAGACCGGGTTGTCGGTGAAGACTTCCTTCGCAGAGGCACCAAGAGATCCCAGCGCCACAGCTGCAGCCACACGCGCTGTCATGGCTGCAACGCTTCAGTGTAGGTGGAGCCCTTGGCACACAAGCGTGTGATATCTGGAACTGTGTCCAGCCCACACTCCTGTCTCGAGCCAAAGGCACTTCGCAAAACAGCCAACTGCGTCTCAAGGTCCCCTGGTTGCATCACACCACCAGCAATGTTCGGACACGATCGGGCTGAAGTATTGCGCCTGCTCTGCGTGGAGTACTTGCCCAGGAAGGCAGGGAAGCTCGGGAAGGCCACAAACCTGCTCTGAAAGCAAGGGATACTTGCTTTTCGGGTGGGTCTCTCTGATTGCACCCAACAGGACCGTGTCCACCCCTGGAGGCTCTAAATTCTTGTTTTTGCGAAACGAACATCAAGCCGTTTGGGTTCCATTCCAGCCCCCCTTCGAAATTTGGCCTTGAGGACACTAAATTTGGCCTTTCTCGTTTGGAGTCGTGGTTCCGAGTTCGGCTGCAAGCATTCTGAGCTCACGTGCCGAGGGAGCTGGGGTCTACGAGATGGCTCACTCAGCAAAGGCCTCTCTGCAATGACCTCACTCTTCTACACTATGGCAACAAACAGCCTACGATTCGGCCGATGAGACACGTGCTGTATGTTCGAGAAGTTGTACTAGTATTTAGTGGCTTCAGGTGAAGCCGCCAGTGTCCAACATGCTGGCGACCGATTGGCCAGGCACCACAGGCTCTAGGCGCACGGCCCATTGGTCATGAAAGCCGGGTACACCGAAGAGAGGATGCCCAAGTCAGGGAGCAGGCTCCACTCCTACAAGCTGGCACCAGTCACCCCCAAGCACACAAAGCTTTCCAAACGCTGGCATGCCGTGTTCCCCGGAGCTCCTGATGCTCCCGGATCCTGGAGCCAATGATGTCACCTACAGCCATCATGTCGGCCGTGTTGGCGCACCTGAGCTGCACTGCCTTGGCCACAGCTCCATAGCACCATGTATAGGCTGAGCCAGTGACCTTTGGAGCAGCTCGTTGTTCACGGGCCTGAGTGCTGAGCAGAGGCTAGGCCGCTGCTTCTGGCAACAGCTCGTGTGCGTTTTGCAACAGCGGCTGCCAAGTGGCTTCTTCGAAATGGCATTCAAGTAGTTCTCATGGACGAGAAGGCCCATGAGGGAGTGGTCCACGAAGAACTTGCCATGAAACACTCGGAACGCAAGCCACCCCCGAAGCCACGAAAAGCGACCCTCCACTGCGGCGTACCAGGTCCAGGCGTTCACGCAAGGAGAGCCGCGCGCCCTCCGAGGCACTAAGGAGCTTCTTACCTGGCAAACGCTGAGAACTCAAGTTTGGGCTGCAGGGCTCAGGGCACCTAAACCCTGAACTTGAACTTGGCCTCATCCTCCTAATGTGGCGCCTCATGCTCCTACTCTGAACGAAGGCCCGCAGCCACAAACGAAAATGCCGAAAGGTTCTGGGTCTGGGAGAAAGGGTGGGGATGGTCATGGATGGTCCGGCGCGGGCTTGTTGGGGAGACCTGTTCTTAAACCGGTCGGTGAACCTTAAAAAAGGCAGGAAAGTGTGGGGGGGAGCACTCTTCGGAAGATGTCCTGGGCCTCAAGACCAGTGCCCCTGCTCCACTGTGGACCTCTGGAACAAATCTGCCAAGGAACAAGCATCGAATGGGCCCAGCATGATAGCCTGCAAGAGACATCCTACACCCTTTGAATCTTTTCAAGGCCTTTACGCACGATTCCGTGTTTGCAAAAGATCTCTTGTTCCCTAGTTCTGATGAACTTGTCGGTGCCTGGTCCTTGTTCATCTGGCGCATCTTCTCCTTCATGTCCTGGGGAAGGCATCTTGGGGTTCCGGATTTAGGGCTTAGGGCACCGACGGTTCAGCGTACCATGAAACGCACTAGGAGCATAAAGAAATACATATAAATATATATACATATATACAGATCAATAACGAAGGATGTCCAAAAAAAGGCAGCAGTAGAAACTGTAGCAGTCCGAAAATGTAGTATTCGCACTAGCAATAAGACTGGCAGTAATAGTAGGTCGCAATACTAAGGAAAGTCGCAGTAGTAGCAGCAGTGGCAGTGGCAGTAGTGGTGGTCGTAGTGGTAGTCAGTAGTAGCAATAGAGGCAGCAGAGCAGTAGCAGCAGCAGTACCAATACCAGTACCAGCACCAGTACTAGTACCAGTAGTATTTATTTGTAGTAGCGGTAGTAGTAGTCGCCGTCGTCGCCGTCGTCGCCGTCGTCGTCGTCGCCGTCGTCGTCGTCGTCGTAGTAGTAGCAGTAGTAGCAGCAGTAGCAGCAGTAGTAGTAGCAGTAGCACCCGCAGTCCTTTCGTCGTATCAAACATCACGATGATGAAAAAAGTAGTGGTCGCCCGGAAACAGTCATAGTCATAGCAAATACTTCCATAAACAGACAAGTAGAGTGCAGCATGATATGTTTCACTGATCATTCCCTTGTGTACATTGCTCCTCATGCATGTCTTTGTTCATCCTCGTTCATGCTTTTGCTGATCCTTCTTGGTTCGACCCTATGCCATGACGGCTCTAGGGACCCGGTCCATATACTTGACACCTTGTGCCATGTGCACTTCGGACTTCGTCAGCATCTGGAGCTGGTTCAGCACCTGAATGATTTTCACTGCCAGGAATCGGGGGGTGGGGAGGGGTGTCCCTGCGAACATCAACTCCTGATGGCTTCGGGGTACCTGGATTTCGGGCATCCTTCTGTCTGGTCAGGTCCCGACATGATGGACCCACTGTTCTATTCTCTGGCCAATCAGCCTTAGGTTTGGGCTACCCAAGAGGGGGAGACCGAACTTAGAGAAGTGCCCACGTGCTCTCCGCCCCCGCACACTGCTCCACCCAGAGTGCGTTCCAGGCAAACGACGACAAACCCAGAAGCCAGACGCTGGACAAGTTTGCGTGATCACCTTCGGTGATCCGACAGGTTCTGCGACTTGGCAAAGCCATCCACCCTGTACTTGCAGAAACGCTTAATGCAACGAGTCTGCAGAGGGAGAAACACTGGCTTCCTGTTCAGGATGCCCCGATGCTACCCCTCAGGTCTCTGATCCACAGCTGTACGTTCTGCTCTGTGCAGAAAAGACTGGCAACATGAATTAAGTAGGCAGGGGCGGCGAACACACGCTCCCGTGGTCCGACTGATTAAAACAAACACAACCCACACCCAGAATGAGCTCAAACGCGCCGCATCTGCCCCCAAGGATGGCGCCTTTGGCGTGAACTCTGAGGCTACATGATTTACGTGATGCATCACAATCCACATCTTGGCCCCTCCCGGCTTTGATGTATCCTCAGAGTTTCGAGTTCTCCGAATTCGCCGAACCAAGAGCTGGAGAGAGGTCCGGAGCCTGCCAACTGGTCCCGCAGAGTTTCCTATAATGAAAGAAGCTGCAAAAGACAGCTTTCACTTCTTGAAGAAGTGGCCCAGGCTTGGGCTATGCCGCTATGCCTCCCCGTGGCTCAACATGTCTCACCGCTTTCCTGGCCTGAAAAGAAGGAGCATGTGCTGAAAATCCAAGCAAGAAGCTGCTGATCCGAGCCGCACGGCCTGGGCCTTCCTTGCGTCAGCAGTGCCGGCACGCCTAGGATCTGGGATTCAAGACGATGCCACCTCCCGAGTTTTGCTGCCCAAGATCCTGCCTCGTGGTGTGGGCGGCGGCAGCGTGCTGGTTCTGCGCGTGCGCTGACGCGGAAAGCTCCTGGGCGGGTCCCGAGCTGTTTGCGCAGCAGCCGGGAGCACGACCTCGGCGCTGCAGGAAGTGCTACCATGATGGCACTTGACGGCACTCCAGGTTCGGAGATTAAGGCTCAGGGTGCGACGTCTTGTCTCGTTGCCGCAAAGAGGCCCTTGCAACTGGAAACTGACAAAACATCGACTCTGCTTGAATCTCCAAGTCCGCACAAGCTGCACGTGTTGCCAGCGCCTTGACCTGCTGCTTCAAAGAAGGATCTATCGTCTGCCTCACATACGAAGGGCGAACAGAGAGCCCGTCAGGGCAGTTCGCTGGTCACAGCAAGGCCCCCGAATTCTGTCCGAGGCACACCACGCTTGAAAGCTCCTTCCTCTCGAGCTCGCCATCTGCATCCTGCAAGGGATCTGCAAGGCCACGAGGTGACGCAGCTAAACTCTGCCAAGGCTGGGGGACCCAAGAATCTTTGCATCTTGAAAGGCAAAAGTAAGGCACGTAGGGGTGCCCACTGTGACTGAGGGCTCTCAGGGCGCCCCGTTGTTTCAGTGCATGTCGGAGAGAGTGGCGCGACCTGCGAGACCTTAAGATTGTCAGGCAGGTGCCAGGCCCCCCTGGCCATGGCACCAGTCATATGGGGGATTCTCACGGATTCTCCAAATTAGGGTCCCTTCTTCTGGTTACTATTAGAAGAAGGCCCCGAACATTTCGGGCACCCAAAACTAGAGAACTGCTCGGACCCAGAGGAACGCAGCGGAACGTAGTGGCACATACTGTCGCAACACCCCTACACCCTAAACCCTAAACCCTAAACCCTGAAACAGGCTGAACGCAGCCTGCCTGGTCCCAGATGCGAAGAAGCTTCTGGGCATCTCTGGTGCTGAGCCCCCCTGGCAAGCTTGCGAAGGATTCTATAACACAGGGTTTAGGGTTTAGGGTTTAGGGTTTAGGGTTTAGGGTTTAGGGTTTAGGGTTTAGGGTTTAGGGTTTAGGGTTTGGGTTTTGGGGTTTGGGGTTTGGGGTTCGGGGTTTGGGGTTTGGGGTTTGGGGCTTGGGGTTTGGGTTTGGGGGTTTGGGGTTTGGGGTTTGGGGTTTAGGGTTTCGTTTGTAGGGTAGAGTACCTGCAGGACTCAGCAATTGAAAGAGCATCAGCGCCCGTGCCAGTCAAGGCTCACAGCGGATTGCAGGTGACAAAGTTTGGGTACTTGCAGCACCAAAACAGGGCAGCGCATTGTAGTTTGATATTCCTTGTTCTAGGAACTGCCAAGAAGAAATCCCTATCTTGAGAAACCCCCATATGCCTTTGTTCAAGACGCGC